CATCTCTACAACAAATAAAAAAATCAGCCGGGTGTGGTAGCACATGCCTGTAATTCGGCCACTTGGAAGGCTGAGGCGGAAGGATCGCCGGAGCCCAGCAAGTCGAGGCTGTGGTGGCCGGGAGCAGCCACTGCACTCCAGTCTGGACGACAGAGTGAGACTCCAACTCAAAAAAAAAAAAAAAAAAAAATTAACTGGGCATGGTAGTGCACGCCTATAGTTCTGGCTACTTAGAAGGCTGAGGTGGAAGGATCACCGAAGCCCAGCAGGTTGACGCTGGGGTGGCCGTGAGCATGTCACTGCGCTCCAGCCTGGGTATCGGAGTGAGACTCCAACTCAACCCCCGTCAACCAAACATAAACAAATGAGGAAGTAATTGCTTGAGGTCTTTTCTGGCGCCTGGTCCTTGCCTGGGTTAGGATGTCCACCTGCCTCCTTGTGGCCCCTTTCAAATCTGTTCTGGAGGTCTGTGTATTGGCATGTTCTTTTGGTGTCGAGTGTTGGCCCACGTCAGTGGGCCTAGAATGTGGTGAGGCCTGCAGGGGAGGTTGGGCTGGTTCCCAGATCTCTGATGAAGATGCCCTGAACTCTCGGGCTCTGTGGATGAGGCTCTGATGTGGTCTCTGTTGCTTTCACCCTCTCCCTTGACTTCCTGGGGCTTTGGCTTCTTACTTTGCTCTTATTCCTCCTCCACAGTGTATCCTCAGTTTTTCTCAGGAGTTGGCTACTTGGAGAGAGCATAGTGGTGCCAGTGATGGACAGTGTGGGCAGGGGAACTTGTTGGTGTGGCCACTTGGTGAAAATCCACTGCATCTGTGTGTGTGTGTGTGGGGGGGGGTTGGCATTAAGGGAACATGGGAGTAAATGAAGGAAAGAGACCTAGGGGTGCCCAAGAAAAGGTGAGCAATTGCTCTGTAGGAGTCTAAGGGGGAGGCAGGAGAGTGAGGGAGGTGGGGAGGGATGTTCACCTAAATCAGACAGATGGGGCTCGTCTGTTCCTCCCCTCAGTTCCATGGGACAGGCTTTCTTCTGCTTGCCTCCGCAGTGCCTGGGCCAGCTCCTTCTTCATCCTCAGACTTTCTGTATGGCCCTGGATTGCCCTGCCCACCATCACCATTTCCCCCTAGGGTCACGAGTCCCACCTTGGACTATGCACCCATCTCACTCAGTCTCAAAGTGCTGACTCTTTAGGAGTTGCAGTTGTATATCCAGGGACGGGGACCCCTGCCTTAGTGCCACAAACCCAGAAGCCCACAGGATCCACAGGGAGCACATACACTCCAGCCAGAAAAAAAAAATACTACAAGGAGGTAGAAGTAACTCCTTTCTATATATGTTTATCTGCTTGTATAAGTCACACCTATTTATAGTAGAGAGTTCAAGGGCTGTGAATTCACCCTGGGGATGGGACAGAGCAAAGCGAGTCTGAGGAGGTTTTAGGTCTTTGGGGGCTGTTGTCTAACTTCTGTCAGGCCCTGGCTGACTGCCAGAGTTGGGCGGGTTTTGATTCCCATCCAAGCTCCGTGACGGTGCCAAGGGCCCCCAGACAGGACCCAGCCACCTCCTGTCCCTTTTCTCCCAGAGGCAGCTGAGTTGCTCCAAGGAAGGGCAGGATCAGGGGCCCTGTGGGGGGAGGGTGGGTGAGAAGTGGGCAGAAGAGAGGCCCTGCACACAGCATCTGTCCACAGGAGACGGAGATCCTGAACGTGCTTGGTGACATGGGCAGAAAAGTCCAAAGGGGATGAGGCTCCCGAAACTCATTCCACGAATGGGATGCAGAGGTGTAGGCAGACTTGGGGCTTCTGAAAGGAGCAGCTTCAGGTGGGGCTTCGGCCATTCCCCAGTGGGTGCTATTTCTGCCCCTCCCATCTCCTGACAACCAGGCCCGAGTGGAGAGGCCCGAGCCCACCCTCCTCTCCGGCGGGAAGCCTTGAGGATGCAGAGCTTCAGCTCAAGGCATCCCTGATCACAGTGACCAACCTGCCTTCCTCCCCGCCTCCCCTCTGCACAGGTGAGGACGCTGGTATGTTTGGCTCTCCCCTGGCCCTTAGGGAATCAAGAATGGCTCATAGAAAGTGCTGACAGCCTTTGGGACGCTGAGGTGAGTGGATTGCCTGAGCCTGCGGGTTCAAGACCTGCCCGGGCAACTTGGTGAGACCTCATCTCTACAAAAAAAAAAAAAAAAAAATCAGCCGGGCGTGGTAGCGCATGCCTGTAATTCGGGCTACTCGGAAGGCTGAGGTGGAGGGATCGCCGGAGCCCAGCAGGTTGAGGCTGCAGTGGCCGCTCCCGGCCTCTGCACTCCAGTCTGGGCGACAGAGTGAGACTCCAACTCAAAAAAAAAAAGAAAAAAGAAAGTACTGACAATAGCCACTCCTGCTGTGCGTCTTTCGGCTCCTCTTGTCTTCCACTCCTTCTCCCTTGGACTTGGAGGTCACTTCCTTTCTCTTCTCCTGTGTTCTCTCATCCCTCCTTGGGGGATTAGTGTTCCTAATGGTGGAGTGAAGGGTGAATCCCCAATAAAAGACATTTTAAGGATTGATGAACTATGGGGTGCAGGGTCAGCACCTCTGGGCCCAGACCTCATCACTTTCCTGGTAGCCCGCTCAGCCTGTGTGTGAGCCCAGCTTTGGCTCAGGCATTGGGATTTTCCTGCCCTTCCCCTGCCCAAGGGTCCTGGAGCACCCCATAACTATCTCCCTTTCTCTCTAGGGCCACAGGTCCCGCCCAGGACTGAGCTCCTGCCTCAGCTGGCTCCACTGTGCTGACTCTGTGGAAGCTGCAGATGTACATCCAAGGATGGGGACCCATGAATTAGTGTCACAAACCCAAGGCCCAAGGGAAACACAGGGAACACACGCACTGCAGCTGATGGAAAAGCATGTGTCCTGAGCAAAGGGCTGAGCCACTCTGAGCTTTGCAAACTGTCACCATGAAGGAAGGCAGCTGGTGGGGCCTTATCTTCTTAGATTTGGAGTTTTCAGTAAATTGTCCTGATTTTTAATTGTTGGTAACTAATCCCAAACATTTTAAAGCAATGAGCAGGCCAACTCCCACATAACCAGGGGCTGGCTCTGACTGGCAAGTGCTGGTGACCAACAGTGAGAACTTAACATGCCAGGAAACATCGTGGTCCTTTCTGAGCAGTCAAGTCCACCATTACTGTCATCTCATCTCATAAGTGGGGAAGTGGATGCACAAGCAGAGGAAGTGTCTGACACCAGATCAGGATTTAATAAGTGGTGTTTGAATGCTGGCAGCCTGGGTTGAAGCAAACCCCGGGGCTTTGATCACTATGGGAGGCTGAGTCCTTAGAAAGCAGGCTGAGGCTTACTTAACGGCTCTGTTTTAATGAGTATTTTCTATGTATTTGGTGAGTATATACTCTCTTGTTCAAGCATCACAGCAACCTTGCGAAGTCCATTTTAACATCTTTACATGAAGGGTTAGAACGTTTAGAAACCTTTTGAACATCCATTTCAAAAAAGGGCGCTGGAAAAATTGGACTGTCATATGCAGAAGAATGAAACTGGACTCCTATCTCTCCTATCTTTTACCATATACAAAAATCAATTCAAGATGAATTAACGTCCTAAATGTAAAATGATATTACAAAAATTCTAGGAAAAAACCTGAAGAAAACCTTTCTGGACATTGGTCTAGGCAAATAATTCATAACTAGACCTCAAAGTCACAAGCAAAAAAGCCAAAGATAGACAAATAGGACTTAATTAAGCTAAAAAGCTTCTGCGCAGCAAAAGAAAAATCAACAGAGTGAACAGACAACCTGTAGAATGGGAGAAAATATTTGCAAACAAAGCATCCAACAGGAAACTAATATCCAGAATTTGCAATGAACTCAGACAACTCAACAACAATAACAACAAATACTCATTGAAAAATGGGCAAGGAATGTGACTAGACATTTTTTGAAAGAAAACATACAAATGGCCAACAAGCATATGAAAAAATTCTCAACATCACTTATAAGAGAAATACAGATTAAAAACACAATGAGGTATTATCATATTCCAGTCAGAATGGCTATTACTAAAGAGTTCAAAACTAACAGATGATGATGAGGAGGTGGAGAAAAGGGAATGCTGGTGGGAATGTAAGCTAGAACAATCTCTATGAAAAACAATAAGGAGATTTCTTAAACAATTAAAAGTAGAACTATCATCATTTTATCCAGCAATTCCACTCTTGGGTATTACCCAAAGGAAAAGAAATCATTGTATTAAAAGGATGCCTGGACTCGTATGTTTATTGTAGCACTATTCACAATAGCAAAGATATGAAATCAACCCAAGTGTCCATCAATGGAAGAATGGATAAAGAAAATGTGGCGCGCGCGCGCGCACACACACACACACACACACACACACACACACACACACACACACACAATGGAATACTACTCAGTCACAAAAAAGAAGGAAATCATGTCTTTTGCAGCAATATGGATGGAACTGAAAGCCATTATCTTAAGTGAAACAACTCAAAATCAGAAAGTCAAATACCACATGTTCTCACTTAAAAGTGGGAGCTAAATATTGTGTATACCTGGACATAGAATGTGTAATGATAGACACTAGAGACTCAGAAGGGTAAGAGGGTAGGAGAGAGTGCAGGATGAGGAATTACTTAGTGGGTACTATGTACACGATTTGGGTGATGGTTACACTAAAAGCCCACACTTCATCACTACACAATATGTCCATGTAACAAAACTGCACTTGTACCTCATATGCATACAAGCAAAAAAGCTCTCTCAGTCTCTGTGTAGTAGGCTACGATCAACAGTCAGGTCCAGTTGGCACTGAAGTGCCAGCTCTTTTCACGCAGCCCAGTGTCTGAATTCTTGTGTCCAGCCAAGGACCAGGCTCAACAGGGCCATTTAGGAATGGTGGATGAGAGTCTGGGGCCTGACTTCTAGACCGTTGGGCAGGACTTCTGGCACATCCTCTTGACATGGGGCTCAGTCCAAGGTGGCTGAGTCACTTGGCTCGGTGCTGCTCGCTGCTCTGCGGTGAGAGGCATTGCCAGATTCCCCTGCACACCATCTCACTGCCCAGGGCGTAGTTGATGGCGTGATGGTGGGCACCGTTTTGGCAATGAGGGCGGGCACCTGTCGTGGCAGAAAAGTCAGAAAAGAAGCTTCAAAGCCTCTGCTTCTTCCCTTGCTCCCACCTGCTGATCCCAGTCCCCCTCCCCCTGCAGCTGCCAATCACTTGACTTGGCAGTCTCTGAGCCTTTCCTGACCAGTTGGGCAGAAGAGCCATGGCTCACAGAGCCCCGTGGAATTCCAGACCCACATGCTCCACACCAGGGCATCATCTCAGCCCCCGGACACAGAGTATGCATGTTCACCATCTGCCTGTCCGTCTCTGTCACCTCACATGAGGTTTGGGCAACGCTAAGCTGCCGCTTGGTATGACCTTAAATGGGGTGGGGGTGAGGGGCACAGACCAATTCTCTGTGCCTTATGAGTGTTCAGAAGAAGAAAAAAAGAGAAAATGCCACAGAGGACATACAGCCAAGAAGAGAGACACAAAGATCCAGGGGGTTCTAGCTTTGAGAACTGGAGGTGGGGGGAGAGAGGGAGATGGGATTAACGAGCAAATATCTGTCTGGGGATGGGGAAGCACCTCTAATCAATAGGGTGCCTGAATGAAACGTATTTGTATACCTAACCCTTAACTGTACCCCACAACATCATAATAAAGAAATATTGATTATTTAAAAAAAAAGAAGTATTACTACAAAATTTTAATGTATTCAGTAGAAAATGCTGCATTTCTAAGTAAAAAAATAAGAAGTTTCCAGGAAAAAAAAAAAAAGAGAGAGAACTGGAGGTGTCTGTACCATCTGTAGTTTGGGGGAGATGGAAGTCACGTCTGCGATGACCGCACAGAGATACAGGAGAGCATAGGGGCCCCAGCCAAGCATCAGCGTCCTGATGGGCAGAGTGGTGTTCACCTGAGGAGAAATTGTCACGGGGGTGTTAGCTCATGCCAGATGGCCTGCAGTCCCACATAGCTGGGGAGATCAGGTCAATGTTCAGCAGGGCTGGGCAGCATGGACGAGGCTTCAAGAAAGGGCTAAGCCTGCAGAGGAACTTGGGACCACATAAGTCTCTCTGCTGTTTAAGGCTGCGTGACCCTAAGTCTGTTATTTAAACTTATTGACCGCAGTTGCCTTGTCTGTAAAATAACCTGATAACATCTGACTTGCCTGGAGTCAGGGACTGGGGTGGATAAGTAACTTCCTTTTGGGTCTGTGCTGCCTAAGAGGAATCCTGGGCTGTGTGCGTGCACAAAGTTTCCCAGGTTGAGTTGCCCTCGGATCTCAGTCCCAGGACCAGCTCACCATCAGCAGCTGCAGCCACCTAGCAAGATGATCCTGTCCTAGGCTCACAGTATGAGATAGAACCCGGAAGCAGGGTTCGTCCGGGGAGCGGGTTATGCTGTGCCACTACCGCAGGCCACAAGGGGGCGCGAAACCGGCGCTCTAATTTCAGGATGGAGCTGCCAGGTTTAAGTTCACCACAGATAGTCGAATGTAAAAATTCTGACACTAAAAATTAGTGCTTATTTTCTCAATGACATGTCTGTCTTTAACAAAGAAGAACATTTAAATTGAAGGGACACATTTATTCAGCTGTGAATTTTTAAAATACTAGGGAGACTCCCATAAAGCCGGAATTATTTTTTTGCAGGGTTGGCCGCTTGTAGTACAGGTTTCCCCTGATAAGAAGCCATCAGCATCAGTGTACCAGCTAGCGTTGTTGTGAGAGGTTGTGTTTGGTTTCAGCAATTTTCTTTTGAAGATTCTTTCAACATGTTTGCCCATTTCGTGATGGGTGATTTATGAATGCACCTGCCCACACCGCGCTTTTTTAAAATCAAAAACTGCATGACCCTTGTGCCCCACACTCCCTATTCACCCGATCTCATCCTGAACAACTTTTTTCTTTGCTTGCTTTCACGATAAAAAAATGTCCTCAAAGGGAAATGTTTTGCTGATGTGGAAGCGATGAAACAAAAACCGGCAGAAACATTAAAAGGCATCCAAATTGATGAGTTCAAAAACTGTTTTGAGCAGTGGAAAAAGTGTCTTTATAGACGTATACATCAGATGGAGAGTACTTTGAAGGTGACTTAAGTTCAAACATGCAAGAATAGATATACAATTTTTTATTTTTTTTGAGTTGGAGTCTCACTCTTGTCTCCCAGACTGGAGTGCAGTGGCCTGTCCCGGTCGCTGCAGCCTCGACCTGCTGGGCTCCAGCGATCCTTCCGCCTCAGCCTTCCAAGAAGCCGGAATTACAGGCATGCACTACCACGCCCAGCTAATTTTTTGATTTATTGTAGAGATGAGGTCTTGCCAAGTTGTCCAGGCGGGTCTCGAACCCACGGCCTCAGGCAATCCACTCACCTCAGCCTCCCAAAGCGTGGGATTACAGGCTGAGCCACCGAACCCGGCTCCAATTTTTTTTTTTGAGTTGGAGTCTCTGTCGCCCAGGCTGGAGTGCAGTGGCATCCTCACAGCACTGTAGCCTCCATCTGCTGGGCTCAGGTGATCCTTCCACCTCAGCCTTCCAAGTGGCTGAAACTACAGACATGTGCCATCATGCCCAGCTAATTTTTTGATTTATTGTAGATGAGGTCTTGCCAAGTTGCCCAGGCTAGACTCGAACCCATGGGCTCAGGCAGTCCTCTCACCTTGGCCTCCCAAAGTGCTGGAATTATAGGTGTGAACCACCAGGCCCAGCAAATATGCAATTTTTAACAAATAAATTTGGGGTTTTTTGGGTCCTCCCTTGTATATTGACCGAGAGACTATTTTTTCTTTTGATTTGTCCCTCAATTTTTGGTGGGGGAAAAGGTGGTCAACACTGATGCAGGGCCTCTGGGTAGAGCTGAGGCTGTAGGAGAAATGAACTCCTAAGAGAAAGCCGTCATCACAGGAAACCCCTTAGCTTGTTGAGGTTCCTGGGCCCTTGCCTGGTAACCTTGGCTGATGCTATCAGAGTTACTGGTTTAAGGTCCACCCAGAAAAGCAAGAACACCATGGTGGTTGCCTTGTCTCCTGGTTGATTAAACCTTCAACCCAAGTGGTAACTGCGCATCCAGACAGGGCATGGAGCAACAGAGCAGAGGACAGCCCAGGAGGTAGGGCCTATGTCAGTAGTGAGCTGAGAGCCAGGGGACAAAATTCTGGTTCCAGTGCAGTCCTTGGCCTCCTTCTGTGACCTTAGGGGAGCTTGTGTCTCCAGCTAAAATAGATTTGTACAGTCCTTTTCCGATTAACAATAAAAAAATGAATAAAGTGGCAGATTAAGTTTCTCAACAAAGAGAGTGTTTCTTTTGTACACTGATTGACCTCATGGGTCATGGACCTAGATTTGATTCCAATTCTGCTATTATTACTAGATGTGTGGCTTTTGGTGAGTTACTTAGTTAATACGGACCCCATTCCACTGCTTCAGTTACCTAGTCTGTGATACAGGGGAAACCTCCCTTCTCAGAGAGAAGGATGAAATGACAATGCACATAAGGTAATATCATCTTGTTTTGTTCTAATCTTTGCTGTGTGTTATGGCCCCTTTGCTAGAGGTCATCAAGTAACAAAGTTAAAAGAAAATTGTGGCAAGGGAATATTAATGCAGAAATGGCCAGGAGGGATTATTTTGAAGTACCATTTTCTCTTGGACAAATGTGCTTGTAGGTGTGATTTTATCTTGTGGGCAACAGCCTGTGACTGTGATTAAATTAAACATCTCAACGCAATTTAAAAGTAGCATTTAAAGACCCTGTAATTTTGTGCCAAACCTCAAATCCTTGGGAGGAATTGCATGTTACAGTATGGATGGTGTCCAGCAGGGAGCCCTGGCTCTTGGGGTTACAAAGTCTGTGTACATCTGACCATTCCTGATCCTTGCTTCCTATGCCTCGGCGATCCAAGCAAAGGGAGGGTGGTTTCCAGCCCTAACATCCTATGCTGTATACAAGCTGGATTTTCTCCTGATCATTAGAAACACAGAAAACCCCTGGTTGCTGCCTGTCACAGTGTTCATGTTCCCTGGTGTCCCTGAGAGGGAATGAGACATTCCTGCTGCGCTAGGTGGTGGGTCCTTACCTGGAGATGGCCACTTTTCCTAAGCTTCTGCTCCATGAGCCGGTAGGATATGATTGTGATGAAGAGGGGCATGGCGAAGTTGAAGAAGGCCATGGTGAAGAGATAGCTGGTGAAGTTTCTATAGGCAGAGTAGGTAGAGGAGTGAAGTCAGTGCTCAGGCATGGCCAGCTGCCTTTACAGGCCCACCAGTCTCTGTTCTAGATGGCCAGTTGAAGGGAACCAACCCCATCAGACAAGCACATCAGAGTGTGCTCACTCCCAGGTCCCAGGTGAACTCCCTTTAGGAGCCAGGGAGCTGAGATGAGGAAGAGGACTCCTTCACAGGTTCAAGTGCTCAGCCCTGCTCTCCTGATTGTCCCCAAGCATGAAAAATGGGACACTTTAGTTTGGGAAATGTGTTCGCCCAGTGGAGGAGATGTCAATGGACCAAGAGGAGAAACATTCAAGGAGTGTTCTAGACACAGGGGTTTTAAAGGAGCCTATGGACAACAAGGAGACTGGATAGTGCCACCGAAGGACCTGCTGATGGGACCACAGATGAGCCTGGGGTCCCAGGGAGTGGACATGCAAGGGGGAAAGGGTGACCAGGAGCAGTGGGAGTCACAGGGAGATACATTCCCACTGTGTGAAGGGAAGCCCATGACACCTTGGACTGCCCACTAAGGAGCAGTGGGAAGGAGGGATGCCAGAAAAACTGGACCCAGGCTGGGGAGTGCCCTGGAGGGACACTTGGACCAGGACCAGGGATCTCCGGTAGCATCATCCAGGACAGATGCTTCATAGGTAAACATCATGGGTAAAGCAGACGAATGCAACATGGCTCTGGTGGAAGCAAGAGGAGTCTGGTATCCAGGTGACCACTCCTCAAGGCAGCCCCTAGAGGGTCTTGCTAAGTCCTTGTCTCCCAAGAGCCACCTGGATGGGGCAGTACTAGAACATGGGTCCCATGATGGTATGGTCTATAATGTATTCGGTCCTATCCAAAGATTGGTTCATAGCACATGATCGGGGAGTTCCTAGAATTGATTACCATGCCAGGGAGACCACTCTATTGCAAAGACCTTAATGTTCTTTGGATCTATGGTACCAGGGACATGGTCCCGCTAGATACTGATGAGGTCAGAGCCAGGACAACTGACTGTGCTAAAGATGGCAAAGCAGTGGTGGGACTCTGTGGCTGTTATAATAGACATAAGCCAATGGCTAACTGTATGACACCCCTTCTTGGGTTCAATTCTGGGTCCCAATTTGCATAACATTCCCATTCCTTGGCCAGTCTTCAAAATGGATTTCTCCCAGGCCCACTGTCAACCTGGAGGTAGGTATCATGAGTAAAGGGTTAAGATTGTCTGGCAAGTGTTGATATTTGGGATTTTCCACAGGGGCACCCTTTTCATAGGGACTCAAAGCTGCTCCTCCCACCTTACCTGTCCCCCTTGGAGTAGTCCAGGGTGCAGCATGTCCCCAGTGGTTCATAGTCATAGTGGCCCCAGCCCAGGAGAGGCAGGGCTGCCCAGAAGGCAGACGACAGCCACACAAAGAGCACCAAAGAGATGGCCGTGTTCCATGCCAGTTGGCTGCCTGCAAGGGACACAGGAGGAAGAGGAGGTTGTGAGAGGAGATGGCTTGGCAGAGTCAACTTTATGGTCACAAAAATTGTCTCTAAATCTCAGCTCTGATGCTGAATGGCTTTCCAAAGTATATTTACATATGCCTGGTGGTGAACAGGGTTCTAGATGGTCTCTGGGTGGACCTGTTTTTATTTTAATGTCATGGAGTAGGTGGAGTATTAAAAGAACATTAAACCTATGATTTCAGATATGGTTTAAAATGAAATTAAAGCAAGTGCTTAAAATTTTAAAAATGAATCACTTTTAAGAAAAAAATATCAAGTAAAAACAGAGCAGGTGGTACACTGACATGGCCAGTTATGGAGATGGAATTTGACAACGTGGCTTGTTAAGTCTAGAGTTGTACCTGTCTTCATAAAGATATGGTAGAGGCCTCATGAAGAAAGTGTGAGGTGCCAGAATGTGCGCTCGTGCGTATGCGTGTGTGTGCGCGCACACGGCCTCTCTGCCCACTAACAGTGCCTATCTGCAAAGTCATTTTTTGTATCCATGATCATATTTGATTTTCAAAATAAAACTGAGGTTTTTTTTTGAGTAGAGTCTCACTCTGTCATCCAGACTGGAGTGCAGTGGCCGCTCACGGCCACCGCAGCCTCGACCTACTGGGCTCCGGCGATCCTGCCTCCTCAGCCTTCCAAGTAGCTGGAACTACAGGCGTGCGCTACCACGCCCGGCTGATTTTTGATTTCTTGTAGAGATGAGGTCTCGCCAAGTTGCCCAGGCAGGTCTCGAACCCGCGGGCTCAGGCCATCCACTCACCTCAGCCTCCCAAAGGCGCGGGATTACAGGCTGAGCCACTGAGCCCGGCTGAACTGAGGTTGTTTATTAAAATTATCTCGTAGAGGGGGAGACTAAGGCTCAGAGAGGATCCCCGACTCGCCCGAGGGAATGGCAGGAGACAGCCTCCGCAGGCTCCTGCACACCCTCCTACCCCTCCGCCTTTCCTGAGACGAGTGCCCACACACGACAGGCATGAACGCGCACTCCACCCCCACTCCCCTATCCCGAGAAACACTGAGCAACCCTTAGGTCTGACCACCCCTCCCCACGCCGCCCGGGTGTCCCTCCACACGGGGAGTCCCGGACGTACGAGTGCAGTAGTGATGATAGCGCCCCCAGGCGATGGCTGCGCTGCCGCCGATGCTGGCCAAAGCTGTCACAAAGCCTTGGAAGCCGTGAGCCTGGCAGCCGTCCGAGCCGTAGGGCCAGCGCCTGTGGGAGACACCGGGTGCCAGTGACCCCTCTCTCTTTCCCTCCCTCTTGCCTCCCACCTGTCCAGCACAGCTTGGAGCCCGTGATCCTGCGTATGGGCCCCGCTCCTCCAGAGAAGGCCGTATTATCTGTTTTTCCTTTGGTGAAACCGAGGCCTTGCTGCTTCGGTCACCGGGCGGAAGGGGCGGAGCCCAATGCAAACGCTCCTGGCTCCGCGACTTTGCACCGCGGTTGGGCCAAGGGCTCTCTGAGTGATCAGATGCATCCGTTATAGCTCATGCCTTTATTCTACAGTGGAGAAACTGAGACTCAGAAAGGAAAAGGTACCGAAGCCAAGGTCACAAAGCAAAGCCGATGAAGGCAGACTCGGGGGACGGGAGGTGACCCCAGGCCTCCCAACTCCTAGCCTCATGGACCAAGCAAAGGTGGACGCTTCTTTTCATTGTGTGAGGAGGAATCCTCCCGCTTCAGACCCTCCAGGCTGGTCATCCCTGAGTATGGACATCCAAGTGGGCTCCAGCCTCCATTTTAGCGCACAAAACCCGAAAGAGAATGCTCAATCTGCTTAAGAAAACAGTCTTATACACACCTTCTGAAGCCTCCTTGGAAAACCCTGGTTTGCAGACAAGGATTAGACACTAATCAGAATCCTGTTTGCTTTTACAAACACTTATTTAGGGCTTCCTAGGTGCCAAGCATTCTAAGTTATTTACAAATAATAAAAGTTGATACTTCCAGCTGTCCATATGAGTTAGGTAATACTATCTAATTTACAAAAGAAGCCCAGAACTAAAAATGATACAGCCAGAACTCAAATGTAGGCCGCCTGGTTATAGGGCTAATGCTATTGATCCCTACGACCTGCTATCTCTTTGATCAGGTTTGAGCAACCCCTGCCTTGCAGAAATCGGCTGTAGTTCTTCAGGAATAATCTGAAATTCAGATTTACCCTAGTTCAGTCAGCCCACCCTCTGTCCTTGGTCAGTTTTCCATAGGTAGGAAGAATGTCTCTGGCCTGCCTGCCCAATGCTCAGAGGTCAGGGCCCCAGAGCCTGCGGTGGACTGGGGAGGGGTCTTGTACCGGAGGAGGCTGGATGTGGCTCCGATGAGGGCATTCAGGCTGATCCCACTGTCCGCAAGAGCCAAGCTCAGCACCAGCAGGTGGCAAGGAGTCCGCAGCTCCGGGGTCTTGCAGAAAGAGAAGATGGTCAGGCTATTGAGGCTGAGACCGGAGAGAGCTGAAAGGAAGGGTAGGGGCTGACATTGGGGCTGCTGAGGCCCACCTGGGGTCAGGACAGGGTCAATGGAGTGGATGGAGCTTCAGCAACCTCCCAGACAGACAAGGAAGACAATCAATATAGTGCAGTGGGGCTCATGCCGTGACAATAGTAATCACTGACACCCGCTGAGCACTAAGCACACGCCAGGCACCATGATAAACACCTTACATAGGTCGTCTCTTTCAGTCTCTACCTGGATATTCTCTTCCCCATTTATAGCTGAGAAACTGAGGATCAGAGATGCTATCTACCTTGCCCTAAGTACACAGCTACTCAGTGGTGGAGCTGGAACTTGAATTCGGATCTTTCAGATTCCAAAAGTGTCTTCTCCGAGAGCTGTGGAGCAAAGTCAGGGAGAGCTTCAGAGGAGAGGAGTTGACATTAGAGCTGGGGGTCTGCCCAGGATGCCAGCAATGAGGTGAACTCAAAGGGACTGTTCTCCATGGGGCAGAGAGACCCCAACTTGAATTTCGGCTTGGTTGCCTGCTTGCTGCCCCTTAACTCTCTGGACTTTAGCTTCTCCCATCTAATGTGAGGAATAGGAAAGAATGCTGCCTTCAAAACTGTAAGATTTACCTGGTGAACAGTGCATGGAAAAGCATTCCAGAAAAAGGGAATAACGTTCAAAGACATCAAGTGGTAAAAGTTTTACCGCATGTTTGAGGACCTGGAGGGTGCTAGCATGTAGAGTTCTTAGAAAAGGGAGACACAAGTTGAGGCCACTAGACAATTGTGTCTAGGGTCTTCAGGACCAGACTAAAGGCTATCACTCCCTCTCCACTGACAGTTCTCATTAGGTGAGAAAATGTGCTGATTATTTCTCTGGATCTGCTTTGAATAAGGGCTGTGCTCCCCATCAACCTAGCTTGGGCTGGCCTGGCTCCAGGATTGACACTGTCTCCAGCTCCAGCTTCAGTGAATATTTGAGGGATTCTGGGTTGAGGCAGGCACCTTGTGGGCCCAAAGAGCTCCTAGAGAGGAAATGGGAGAGACATGATAGAAGTAGTGGCAGGGCTGAAGAGGGTGGCAGTGGATGAACTTAAATGCCCCAGGTGTCTATTTAGGCTGTATACACCTTATCCCATCTAATCTTCACAACACCCATTTGAAATGTCAAGGCATTGAGGGCAGAGAGTTGAAAGAACTTGGTAGCAGACATGCAAGAGCAGGTGGCGGAGCTATCTGTCTTCAGACCCTTTCGAGGGCCTGATCTTATATGAGACTCTTAGCAGGATTTCCAGGGAGTGGATTAAATTTTTTCCAAGCTGGAGGGACATGAAAAGTCTTAAAGCCTGTTTCTTGGTCATTTCCTGAGCAGATGTCCCCCCTTCAAAGTCCTTCTGTCCCTGACCCTTGCCTGTCTTCTCTCTCTCTCTCTCTCTCTCTCTCTCTCTCTCTCTCCCCCCTCCAACCCCTGGGAGCAGACAGCCAAGAGGACATGACATCCAGCTGGGTTTGGGACTTCTCCTTGCCAGTTCCACAACGGTGGTTGGGTCTTCAGAATCCACTGGACCCCCCACTACACCCTAGGTCCTGCCTGGCTCACCTTCCACCAGTAGCACCATCCCCACAGCCAGCACCTCGAGCTCCCCGAAGCCAGCAGGCAGGGCGCCGGCCTCTGCCATCCTCGGTGCCAGCAGCCCAGCTGACTCTGGCTTTCCACAGGCAAGCCCCTCCCTTTTAAAGGGCCATGCCACGTGCGTGTGGACACATGCAGGTTATTATGCTAGACCTTGGGCTCCTTCTGGCTGCCTCCCCCCTCTAAATGGTCCTCTTGGCCCGAGCAGAAGGAACTCATTCACCAGTCGGACAATGCAGCCTTTGTGGGGCCAGAATGGGGGGCCCTGTCTCATTCATTTCAGCCCCACTGTGCAGGATTAAGGTCGGGGAATCCAAATGGTGTGTGGCTGAGAGCCTAATTGGAAAAGAGTTGCATAACCAAGGGAGGGGAGCAAAAGGAGGGATTTGAGTTACATCTGTTCCTGAGTACTGGAGAGGAGACAGACTCTTCCATGTTTGAGTACTGACAGGCCGAGTGACTGTGTGCATGTGTGTCCACAGGCTCACATGTGTGTGTTTGAAAAACTAGGCAAGAATGAAGTTTGGAAAGTCACCTGCTGTCAGAGGAAGAATCTCAACTGGCATTAGACCCTGGGCTTCTGGTTATAAATCTGCTATTAATTATGTGCCCTGGAATGGGACCATTGGGTTCATCTCAGTTTCCTTGTCCGAAATGTCAGTATCTTTTGTCTATGGCCTGTGTAAGTCCTGGTTAGAAAAATGCATTGTGAAGCCAGGCGCGGTGGCTCATGCTTATAATCTCTGAGCTTTGGGAGACCAAGGTGAGAGGATTGCCTGGGCCCATGGGTTCGAGACCAGCCTGGGCAACTTGGCGAGACCACATCTCTACAACAAATCAAAAAAATAGCCGGGCATGGTGGCATGCACCTGTAGTTCCAGGTACTTGGAAGACTGAGACTGAAGGATCACCTGAGCCCAGCAAGTAGAGGCTGTGGTGGTTGTGAGTGTGCCATTGCACTGCAGCCTGGGCTACAGAGTAAGATTCCAACTCAAAACAAAAAAAAGATGCATTGTGGATACAGGCCTCAGGGCTGAGTTTCCTTTCTCCCACAGAGCACTTGAGTCATGGAAACATAAAAAAAAAAAAATCACCCAGGACACTGGCTTGGAACATAGGTGCTGCTGTCTTTTGTAAGTAGCCCCCAGACCCATTAAGAGCTTTGACTTTTACAAATGACTTCTTGGTACACTGACTTCTTTTGCACTGTTATGCACTGGCTCAAGGTAAACTTTACATCAGGAAACACTGCTCTAGGGCAACTTACCTCATTTTCAGATAAAGAAATCTAGTCCTAGAGCACTATTAGCAACAGAGCTAATGTTTACTGAGGTCAGGCCCTCTGCTAAAGGATTTTCTGATGAGTCCTACAAAGAGCCCCATGAATTAGATACCATTGTCTTTTCCATTTCAGACAGGAAACTGAGGCTAAAAGCAGTTAAGAATCAGCCTAAGGTCACATGGTGACTCACATGGAGCTGGAACAAAAATTCTATCTCTTATCGCCCAGGCTCAGGCACTTTTCAGTGGCATATTCTGACTCACTCTGGTGGAGCAACTTATTCTATTCTAGGCAAGTCCATTTCCCAGGTCTTTCCTCTTGTGAGTACCCAGTTACATCCAAGTCTAACCACTTCTCAGGCTGAGCTACCCTCCAGGTCACATCCTCAAGAGCTTTTTCTGCCCTTTTCTGATTTTTATCATACGTTGGTTAATACATATTTCAGTCCTTTCTCCACAGCTGCAAGATCTCAAAAGACTTCACAAGAGAAAGGAAAGTGGGACAAGGCCAAGAATAAAGGGTAGAATTTAGTTAGGCAAAAGACAGAAGCAAAAGCATTGGGGCCGAAGAAGGAAGAGACAGAGATGTGGGAACAGAAAGGCTGGTCGTTGGGTCTGGGGAGGAGGAGGTATAGTTGGGAAGCACTGAGAAAATCCTATTGATTGGATTGGAAGAGAGGAAGTGATGAGAAGCAACATCTCCTGGAAGAAACATTGTCAAAACAGAACTAGCACAGAGCCAGGCATTTAAGTGTGCACTGGGACTCCAGATATCTTCCTAGGTCATACCTCACTGGTCTATCTCTACCTAGGCTCATGGGCATGAGGGATTGGGCAAACTTCTGGAAAAGTTGAAGGACCCATTTAGAGCATGCTGGACCAGAAAGCAAAGCCTTGGAGTCAAATGTTGACAGTGAGTGAGTCAACTGAGTGTCTACTACTAGAACTCATCCCTAGTCTGTCCCCACTGGCATCTTGAGTAGATATGATGAGATGAGATAGAGGTAAGGAGAACAGGCGAAACTGAAAGTGCCTTCTCTAAAAACTCTGTGAGATATTGCTCTGGGACCCTCCTTGGAGTATGATACCTTGAGGAGAGGGATATCCTCTGCCCTTGGCTATTGAGGCAATGCCCAGAATGGCCCAACTGAAATAGCAGTGTTCTGAGCCTGAGTGTCCAAGGGGCATTCAGGGAAGGCAGCTATTTTCCCTGCAGACTGGTATAGTTCACAGGCCCAGGAGAGACATTGCTGATGTCTTCCTGAAGTATCTGAATTATTCCAGTTCCTCCATAAACAGGTACTTGTAATTACCAGCAAAACCGGGCATTTACTACTTGTGAGAGCGCTTCTGTGCCCACAGGCTGTCAAGGTCTTGAAACGTGGGCTGTTTTTTATAAACACCTTGGGTGGGGTAATTTATTTTCCTCTGTCAGATGAGGGCACAGAGGCCAATAGAAATGATGTGACTCACTCAACTTCACAGCTTATAAATGGAAGAACTGGGATTTGAACCCATTTGCCTGGATCCAGCATTCGGGGTCTTTCTAGTGCCTTTACACCTTTAGGAGTTGCTTTGCCCCACTGCATTTTCCCTATGTGACAGTGTCTCAGGAGAGAATCTCCAAAGGCCCTTATTAGAGGCTAGGGTTCTGTCTTCATCTTCCCTGTCACTGCACAGAGTTTGTGAGTTTATGTTGTCCACAACCTGGTTGGTATGGCGTACTTTGCAGGTGGCAGCCCAGCTGGCAGAGCTAGCAGCCTCTTGCCACTGGGCAGCTGCCCACCTGCCCCATCTTGCTGTGCCCTTGGCCTCTCTGGGCCCAGGGCTGTTGCTATGGAAGGGGATCTCCCACCCCCACCCTCAGGACTGGGTGATTCAGAAAGCAATAAGCCGCTGAGTGCTGTGGCAGGGACTCCCCTCCCTAATCCCCAGCCTGTCCGTGTTTATCCGATGGCCTCAGGAGGGGGTGTAAGGGGCTGGCGAGCAAGTGGGCAGCTGCTGGGCTGGTGGGACAGAGAAGCCCAGGAACAGGCCCCTGCCTGGGCCAGAGAGGAGCCAGGAGTCATGAGGGTGGCACTGGGCATTCTCTGGCTCTTGGCCCTTGGGTGGCCCCCTCAGGCTCGGGCATCCTGCCCATCTCAGTGCAGCTGCAGCCTCCATATCCTGGGTGATGGCGGAAAGGCCAGGTATGGCACCGGGTGTGTGGGATGGGTAGCTCAGCCTCCCTCATTGTGCTAGCTAAGGGTTGGCAGGGGTTAGAGCCAGGGTCCTCAGACTGAGGCTGGATGAGATCTTCATCTCCCTGGCCCTCGAGGCACAGGGATCCTATGGGGGGTAGTTTGCAACTGCCTTATTTTCCAGTAAGCAAGGGGGTGGGTCTGTCTGAGAGATACCAGGGACTTTTATACATGGGGCAGGGGTGGGGTACAGGTGTGCCAGTTCCGGGAAGTCCTTCCTGGGTCTTCCTCCAGGCTCCTGATGGAGAGGAGCCCTCTTTAAAGGCCCAGGAATTCTCCCATTCCTCTCTCTTCCCTTCTCTTGCTTCCCTCCATTCCATCTTCCTTTCTCTATTTCCCCAGCTGCTTCTTTTCCCAGGCCTCTTCCATTCTCTTGCTTGACCTCCTTGGGGAACCTAGGCATTTCCTACTACCCAACCCACCATGGGACCATCTTCTTCCTCTCAGTCTTCTGCCTTTGGTTCTTCTCTGGCCAGCCCCCAGAGCCTCAGCCCCAACTCTTCCTGTGGGTGTTCCTCAAGGCCCGGAGTGCCCATCCTTTGGCAAGCATGCCCCCCTCCCTTCCCAGCCTCTTCCTTGACTTTCTTCCATCCTCTGTGTGATTTCTTAGACCACCTCCATCCTCTCTCCCCTTTCCATGGGATGTTCCCAAGGCCACCGTGGCTTTTAGACCCTTGCTCTTCCACTGCAGCTCATTTTTATCAGTCTCTAAGTCATCTTTTTTCCAAATGCTTCAGCTTATCCATTAATGACCTGTGCATTTCCCAACTTACTCAGGGATTTCAGTCTCTGGCTCAAGGCCTTTTCTATCATTTTCCCAACCTTCTGAAATTTCACCTTCCCTTCCTCCCTTGTCTTAGATGGGTACTGGAGAGTCACTGATGGTTTCCGATCCTGGGAACAATGTTGGCAGAGCTATGTTTTCCGTGATTTTGGCAATGGATACTGGACTAACTGAGGAATGAAAGGAGGCAGAGGACAGAGAGGAACTACCAATAAAGGACACCTATATGGTCTGGGGGACAGGAAAAGCTCCATTTTGGCCTAAGGATCTGATGCTGCAACTCATATGGAGGGTAAAGATCCTCTCCCCAAGATAAGCCAGGGTGCGTCCTGACGAGGCTGGGAAACAGCCTATGACCAAGGACAGTATGAAGGGAGTGACAAAGAGCCTCCCCTACCACCCACAGGGCTCAAAGACACATGGCATCACTGATGGAACTGGTCCTGAAATCCAGGCATTCTGACTCCATTTCCAGAACTCTCCCATCTAGTGATGCTGCTGTGGGCAGAGACCAGTGGAGAGTTCCAGGCAGCAGAGTTAGCCTTAGGATGAAAATGAAATCGCACGGTCATTTTGTTAGGGGCTCTAATGTCAGTCAGTGGTCATTCCCTCCTTTGAAACCAGAGATCTTACAGTTGGTTCTACCTGCCTAATCATCCCATGGCTGATATGCAGCAGCCCATCTGCATGGAGTGTCCTATGAGAGGAGTGAGGCCATGAAAGGCTGCAGGGGACCCTAAGGTTCCCAATGACTAGGGACAGGTTGTAAAGTTAGACCACGTCTCCTTTTGCATCTCAAATGTTTTTCTCAGTCCCATCTCTAACTGGGCTTCTCAGAGAGCCCAGATGTTTTGTCTGAGCATCAGCATTAGCAAGAGTGTGTGTACCTGTAGGCACTGAAGTTGCCTGGAAGGGCCCAGGCTGGATAACTGGATGGATATGTCCTCATGCTGTTTGTCCCAGTTTGCCCCACCGGGAGCTGTGCTGTAGGCTTGTGTTGGGCTCTTACTGGTTACCATTTCTCTCTCATCCAAGATATGTTTTCCCATCAATTTCCTTCCTCCCACCTACATCCAGACCTTCTGCCTTGCAACACTCAAACCTGTTTTTTATTTTTATTTTTTATTTAAGAGATGGGGGTCTCACCCTGTCACCAAGGCTGGAGTACAGTAGTGCACTCTTAGCTCACTGCAGCCTCGAACTCTTAGGTTCAAGTGATCCTCCTGCTTCAGCATCCAGAATAGCCGGGATTACAGGCACACACCACAGTGCCCAGTCAAACCTGTATTTTTATCTGAAAATATCATTGCTGTCAGTGCTCTTTCTTCCTGAGTTAGATTATAACCTGTATGGGGATGGGGGCTGCGAGTTTGATTCTTTTCTGAATTGCCCATCACTTAGTAAGAGTTCCATGTAAATCCCAGCAATATGAGTGGGTGAGAATATCTGTGCTTTTTTGTGGACACCATTTATAGGAAAAAACAAGCCAAGCCTAGCCCCTTTAAGTAGAGTATATGAGTTAAGCTGACAGATGCTGGTGGTGTGTTTGTGTGTGTATGTGACACCAGGAAGGCCTGATAAAAATAATGTGTTATGCTATTACAAGAGAACAACCTCCCTTAGATTGGTCTATTTGGTGAGTGGGGGGCTTAGGATTTTATTTTTAGTTTACATAGCATAAAACAGCCCTGAACTGTAGGCTCTTTGAGGGCAGGGACTGCTTCCTGTACCCTTCTATCCTCAGCTTTAGTCTCAAACTTATAGAGCAGGGTTTAAGAAGTCAGTCTGGGTAGAAGGAATTGATATGACTGACTGACCTGATTTACTTGCAGTGATGAGATGCAGAAATTTACGACAGTGATCAAGAGCACTGGGCTTGTGTGGGGTGACAGTCAGCATGCTGGGCTTGCACATATATTATCTCATTTAAACCCAATAACCATCCTGTGAGATGGAGTCTACTAGGATGGCAAAACTGAGGAAAAGAGAAGTTCCCTAATATACTCAAAGGCACACAGCAAGCTAAGAGCCCAGACGTGAATCCAGCTGTGGGGCTTCCAAATCTCAGCTCTTAAACTCCTTGATCATCTCATGACCCCCCATAGGTCACTCACAGGGAAGGAAGTTCTCTGAGACTCAATTTCCTGAGTTAGCACAATACACCAGCTGGTCCCTCTATTTCTTCCATTCCTTCCTGTTCCTAACAAACCAGTGACTTATCATGTGACCCGATCTCCTCTCCTGCCCAAGACACCTACCTGCCTGGCCCTGAGGATGGCAGGTAGGGACATAACTCTGGAAAATTAATTTGAATTATACAACTCATACATGAATTTGTGCAAATGTTTAAAATATCACAGAAAAGGCTAAAACCCCTTTTGTTCTCTCTTCTTGTTTCAACCTAGTTTTGATGTCCTTGGTATATATATATATTTTTAAGTGATGAAGAGCCAAGGCAGTAACAAAAATTGAGGTATAAGTTAACAAATGAACTTTGAACACATATACAGCACAACAGTGGATGAGATGGTCACGGGATTTATGACTACTATTCATTCTTTGTGTGCAGGGAGGCTGTTGGGCTGTAATGGGTCATAGTTTGGGTGTGAGGTCCTATAGGCCAAAGAAGACTAAATAATCTTCCGGGGCCCCTGTGAAAGGTTCTGAAAACAAGGCCCCGGCAAAGGAAAAACATGAGGTTTCTTGCTCTGGGGTTCCCTCTGCAGAGTCCGCTGTGACTTGGACCCTGGTGTTGGTGTCCTATGGTAACAGGCAGACCTACAAGCCTTGTGGAGGGAGGTTGTAGTAGGGGATCACCAACCCGGCGGGAAGCTTTCTCAAATATTCCCCATTTCTGTGTCCAGGACGGTGGTGTGCAATGATCCTGACATGACCCTGCCCCTTGCCTCCGTCCCGCCGGACACCTCCAGACTGCGCGTGGAGCGCACGGCCATACGCAGGGTGCCCGGTGAGGCCTTCAGGCCCCTGGGCCGCCTGGAGCAGCTGTGGCTGCCTTACAATGCCCTCAGCGAGCTCAGCGCCCTCATGCTGCGGGGCCTGCGACGCCTGCGGGAGCTGCGCCTGCCTGGGAACCGCCTGACCACTTTCCCCTGGGCAGCGCTCAGGGACGCTCCCCAACTGCGGCTGCTGGACCTGCAGGCCAACCGCCTCTCCGCAGTGCCGCCGGAGGCTGCACGTTTCCTAGGGAACCTCACCTTCCTGGACCTCTCCAGCAACCAGCTGATGAGGCTCCCTCAGGAGCTGATTGTCTCCTGGGCTCACCTAAAGACCGGCCTCTTTCTTCCAGGCCATCACACCAGGTTGATCCTAGGTAAGTGGCAGCATCCTTTACCTTAGCCAAGTTAGCAGGTCTCTTTGCTTATTTTTCCTTTTTTCTTTTTGAATCTGGGATTTTACTCTGTTGCCCAGGCTGGAGTGCAGTGGCACAACTCAGTAGCCTCAACATCCTGAACTCAGGAGATCCTTCCGCCCTCTGCCTCCCAACTTCCCTGGACCTACAGGTGCCTGCCACCACACCCTGCTAATTTTTAAGAAATATTTTGTAGAAGTAGGGTCTCGCTGTGTTGCTGAGTCTGGTCTCGAACGCCTGGGCTCAAGCGATCCTCCTGTCTCGGTCTCCCAAAGTGCTGGTATCACAGGTATTATCCACCACTCCTGGCCATCTCTCTGAGTTTTGACACTTATCTGGAAAATAGAAATTATACTTACCTTCAGGATTTGAGGGAAGACTGAGTGTAATCCACAAGAGTGGCAGGTTTAGGAGCTCAAACCCCAAGTCAACCCATGGCAGTTCAAATCCCAGTGATAGGAGGGGCCTTCCAGGTCACACAGCTGGGAGAAAAGGCCTCTTAGACTCAATTTCCTAAATGAGTTAGCACAATACACCAGGTGGTCCCCATGTTTCTTCCATTCCTTCCTCTTTCTAACAAACCAATGACTTAACATGTGACCAGATCTCCTTTCCTGAGGATTACAAGTGGGGACATCACTCACTCTGAAAAATTAATTTGAATTATACAACTCACATATAAATATATGTAAATGTTTAAAATGTCACATTAAAGGCTAAAAACCCTTTTGTTCTCTCTTTCAATCCTTTCCCCCAAAGGTAACTACTGTTTTCATATTTATTTGCAAGTTCCCTTCCTTTTCAGATATATTTCATATGCACATATACACATATATACAAATACATACATACACACAGAAATGTTATGTGTGTTTTACATCAAATTTTACTATATTATATATTAATCAGCACTAACTTTTTGACCCAACAGTAGATCTTGGAGATCTTTCTAAATTGCTAGAAATGGATCAAGTTCATTTTTTAAAACCACTGCGTAATATTTCATAGTATACTATGTTTATAGTATAAAGATAGCTATACTATAGTTTATTAAGCTATTCCCTCTTTAGTGGACTTTCAGATTGTTTCCCTTATTTTGCATTCTTGGCAATGCAATCTTGTGTATGTGTACAAATGTTTCTCTAGGATAGGAACTGAGCAGTAAAGTTGCTAGATCAGAGGATGTGAGTATTGGACATTTTAGAATCAATCTGATAATTTCTAGATTGGCTGCTCCAATTCTCATTCCCCAGCAGTAGTGTGTAAGACCACCCACTCATAAGGGTGACCCATTCGTATGTTCACCCAGAAAGTATTTTTGAGTGACTTTCAATTCTTGGTGCTGCAGATACAGCAGTGAACAAAATAGATGAAGATTTATTCACTCATGGACCTAAGAATTAAAATGGCCAAAATGACTTTTGTTAGTCTGGTGGATGAAAGTTTCACTGTCATTTAACTTTGCCTTTTACATAAATTCTTTTGGACCCTGTTGTGATGAAGTGATAGCCACATAGCTCACCACCAGAACTGGGCATTGATGAATCTTGGGTTGCAGATGTATCATTAAATGCACTTAACCAGTGACACAAGGCAACAGCCACTGCTGGGATGGGGCAAGGGAGAGATGGGAGAACAGATTGGCACCCTCAGGTATTTGCTCAAGGGAACCTCAGAGTCATTAATATACAATCAGATCCAAATGCACCCTCCCAACCCTTTGACATTTCCTCTTCCAAATACATTAAATATATGTATGTAGATGTATAAGATATAATTGTTTATGAGATACACTATGAAATTTAATAAGTCGTGGGGGATAAAAAGGACATCATATAATTCATTTATCTTGCCTTTTAGAAATGTAAACCTGTATACCTAATCCTGAATTGTACACCACATCTTTAAAATAAAAAAAATTAATAAAAAAATGTAAACCTATAAAAAGGAATTGTGCCCTAGAATTGAGGGCACATTGTACCCCTCTATCTTTATAAGATTCTATGACAGAGTGGGTGCAGTGACCTACTTTCTTCTCTAAAGAAGTTCAATTTTAAGACTAGGAATGCATCCTAGGATTTGATCTTTCTGGCCTCTTCACCTGCTCTTTACTCCCATTTGATTCTGTCAAAGGGACCATGGCCCAGAGCAGTCATCCTCATTTCTTGGGGGATGCTGAAAGTACCACTTATACTGGGAGGGCTGAGGTCAAGGATCAGAGGTAAGTGAAGCATATCTTGAAATGGATTTTGACATACTGCAATTATTGGAAATATTTCCTGGTCAGTGGCCTGAAAGGATTAGTCTAAGAATGGAAACAGCTATTGCCATTTTTTTTTTTTTTTTTGAGTTGGAGTCTCACTCTGTCGCCCAGACTGGAGTGCAGTGGCCACTCCAGGCCACCGCAGCCTCGACCTGTTGGGCTCCGGCGATCCTTCCGCCTCAGCCTTCCAAGTAGCTGGAACTACAGGCGTGCGCTACCACACCTGGCTAATTTTTTTTTTTTTTGATTTATTGTAGAGATGAGATCTCACCAAGTTGCCCAGGTGGGTCTTGAACCCGCGGGCTCAGGCAATCCACTCACCTCAGCCTCCCAAGGCGTGGGATTACAGTCTAAGCCACTGAGCCCGGCTAGCTATTGCCAATTTTGTTGGTGTGCCATTTGGCCTACTCAGTACTTAGTATGATTTATCTTTGTTTAGGCTTGCAGTGACCCTGAAAGGGAAGTAATGCTATTATTCAAAATGAACATTCAGATTTCAAGTCATACAACTAGCAAGGCAACGAGCTGGGCCCAGAGGCTAGTTCTGCTGACTCTGAGCCGAGGACTTGCTTTGTCCTCCCTGAAGGGAAGGGAAGCTGGGCCTGGGAATCTGAATCTCTGTCTGAATATCTTTTCTTCTCTTTCTCCCCTGCAGGGCTGCAGGACAATCCCTGGGTGTGTGACTGCCGACTTTATGACCTAGTCCGTCTCCTGGATGACTGGGCCCCAAGCTTGGCCTTCATTGAGACCAGGTTGAGATGTGCCAGTCCCCGCAGTCTGGCCGGAGTGGCCTTCAGCCAGTTGGAACTGAGGAAGTGCCAGGGCCCAGAGCTCCGTCCGGGGCCAGCCAGCATCAGATCTCCTTTGGGCAGCACAGTATTGTTACGCTGTGGAGCCACTGGGGTCCCTGGGCCTGAGATGAGCTGGAGGAGGGTCAATGGCAACCCCTTCAACGGCACAGGTTTGTGAGCCACAGGGATGCCGCACCAAGACGATAGACTGGGGTAGGCGGGGCAGTGTCCCAGATGGGAGTGGCAAGGCCAGAGGGAAGCTGTCTGAGCAAGGCTGGGCTCTCATCTCTCTGAGTGGAGTTGGACAGATTCTTACCAGAGGCAGGGCATGGAGGTAACAGATTTACTGATGACGAAGGCTCTCATTCCGTCATGTTGTATCCCACTGGTTACTCTATCAGAGGCTTGGGACCCACCCTGAGGGGAAAAAAGGTTGACTTTTTTGATAGGAGACACTCTTTTAGTGTATTTTCTATTTATGACATGCTTCCCAGTTATAGATAATAAGCCAGAATCATCTAGAGTAAGTGATGATATGAGCTACCATCTACTGAGATCTCCATGTGGGTCTAGCCCTGTGCTAAGCATTTGATGCACATAATGTCATTGAACTTTAAAGAGCAACCTAGTTATCGTTTTTATTTTGCGTATAAGTGAACTGAGGCTCTGACAGCCTAAACACTTGGCCTACATCACATCATCACACAGCTCGCACAAGGAGCTGGGGTTTCAACACAGTCTAGCTAGCTTCACAGTGTGTACTCTTTTAGCTATGCTGTGCGGGCAGAGATGGCTCGTCTCTGCCATGACAGGGACATGAAGGGCTGGTTTGCAGGAGTCATGGTCACCCACAGGCAGCAAGGAGGTGGAGGAGGAATGATTTCTTAGCTCCTGACCAGAAAACCTCACATCCCTCCCAGTTTTCTCTTAAGTCTCTCTTGACTAGGTTAGTAATCATTACTCTAGGATGGTGAGTTTGAGATCAATTTGCAAACAAAATTGTATAAGGAGCTCTACTGTGTAAAACAGGAGGGTGAGGATGCTCCAACTGAAGAGGCAGTAGGTCCAGGCAGAGATGGGCAGGGCACTTCCAGTTGGGCCTCGGCCTCATGTTTCTCTCCTGACCCACCTTATCTGCAAGGCACTTGCTGCTGCCTCTGATGGGTCACCTTTGCAGAACTTCAAGGTCCTGGACAACACAATTTGAACATGTCAGATTCAGAAGGCATATCATTCTTAGTCTTTGCCTTAGCCTGGGACTCTAGGGGCTCCCCGAATTTGAGCCCATGGTAATCTTAATCCTCTTGGCTAGTCTAAAAACGTTGAATGACTTTCAGTGTTTTCTTGGAATGACAGAGTCTTCAGTGGAGTGTGTGCAACCCAGGGGCTGTGAACTTGGCCCCAAAAGGGAGCTTGGGGCAGAGTGACCCTTTCATTCTCTCACATTTGCCTCTTTCCCCACCAGTGCACCGGGAAGTTTCCAGTGATGGCACGAGCTGGACTCTGCTGGGCCTGCCTGCAGTGTCTCACCTTGACTCTGGCGACTACATCTGCCAGGCCAAGAACTTCCTGGGATCCTCAGAGACTGTTATCTCCCTGATTGTCACTGAGCCCCAGTCTTCCACAGACCACAGTGGGAGCCCAGAGGCGCTACGGGCAAGGACGGGTGATGGGGCAGAAGCTGCTGCTTACAACAACAAGCTGGTGGCCAGGCACGTCCCCCATTTTCCAGAACCTGCTGTCCTGGCCACTGGGCCCTCTGTGCCCAGCACAAAGGAGGAGTTGGCCCTCCAGCATTTCCAGATGGGTGTCCCAGGAGAACTCCCTGATGGGCGAGCAGGACCTCAGGAGGCCCGACTGGTGAAGTCTCTCAAGGTGGTGGGGGACACTTACCACAGCGTTTCCTTGGTGTGGAAGGCCCCCAAGGCTAGGAACACAACTGCCTTCAGTGTCCTCTATGCAGTCTTTGGGCAGCGCAACATGCGGCGGGTGATTGTGCAGCCTGGGAAGACCAGCGTCACCATCAATGGGCTGGCACCCAAGACTAAGTATGTGGCATGCGTCTGTGTGCGGGGTCTTGTGCCCCGGAAGGAGCAGTGCGTTATCTTCTCCACTGACGAGGTGGTGGACGCCGAGAACACCCAGCGGCTCATCAATGTGGTGGTGATCAGTGTGGCCGCCGTCATTGCTGTGCCTCTCACACTGCTAGTCTGCTGCGGTGCTCTCCAGAGGCGCTGCCGCAAGTGCCGCACCAGGGGTTCCACGGAGGCCACGGGCACCTATGTCAACCTGGAGAGGCTGGGCCACAGCGAGGATGGCTTGGAAGAGCTGTCCCGGCACAGTCTCAGTGAAGGTGACAGGCTCCTCTCGGCCCGTTCCAGCGTGGACTCTCAGTACTTGGGGGCCAGGGGGGGCAGACGGATCAATGAGTACTTCTGCTGAGGGGCATGCCCCCTCCACTTACACACCTGCCCCTGTCCACTGTCCTCCGACTCTTCAACACTCACTCTGACACTTGAGTATGTGTTCACCCACTCTTATCCACTTGGATCTTGCTCACTCAGACACACACAATAGCAGCAAGCAGCAGCGGCAGCAGTAACAACAGCAGCTGACATGCATTAAGCATTTATGTTGTGCCAGGAAGTGTTCTAAGTGCTTTATATGCATTAACTCACTTAATTCTTATAACAACCATTTGCAGCAGGCACCACTATTCTCTCCATTTTCCAGGGGGGTTAAGTAACTTGCCTGTATCAGTCAGTTTTTGCAGTGTAACAAATAAAAGCAAAATCTCAGTGGTGTACAGCAACAAACACCTATTTTCACACTCACAGGTCTGTGGGTTGACTAGGGTGGCTCTGCTTTGTGTGTTTCATTTGGAGCCTGGGCTGGAGCATAGCAGTGGCTATGGAGCAGGCTTCTTTCATGGTGAGTTCAGATGATATCAGAGGAATAAGCAAAATATGCAATGCCTCTTAAGTTCTTAGTTCAGAATTGGTGCACTGCCACTTCTGCCCATATTCTATCTGCCAAAGCAAGTCTCATGGCCAAAACCAACTCTCATAGGGCAAATAAGGACACTTCTCCCATAGAGGTGATGGTGGGGCAGGATTTATTTGCTAAACAGTGATCTAATCTACTACATTGCTCACGATTACACAGCTAGGCAATGGTAACCCTGGAATTTGGACCAGGCATTTGGGTTTCACAGTCAATAGTCCTTACATCCTTCTAGACTGCATGTTGATTACATTTATGCTGACTCACAGGCACTCACACAGTCTTTCTGTGCATTCACTGGATTTGTAATTGCCCATCCACATTTACACACACACACACACACACACACACACACACACACACACACACACACACACCACTCATACCTACTGTGCTCTCACAGAATTCCAACATTTATTTTCTGGGTGCTCTTCTGCCTAGAGACAACAGTTTGAGTTTTCAACAAATACTAGAGTTTTGGAAGATGCCCAAGAGATCACTGCGTGTTTGCTCTCAGAATATCAGACTGAAGGGATCTGAGAGACCCTGTCACACCTAATGCTGTGTGACTCACAACTCACCTCTGCCCCACAGCAGCCTTTGTGATTCTTACTGAAACTTCCCTGGGTTCCCGAGCATGTCTCAGAGATTTTCTGGTCACTCAGCAAGCTACTTCAAAGGAGGATTCCTGTCCAGTTTTTCTTAAAGTTGGGAAACCACTGAGATATTGTCTCTGTGCACTGGAGAGAGTGAATGTTCCCAGCAAAAGACTCCTCATTTATAGGACTGAGCGCTGGGGAGAGGAATATCCAGAGTGCCTGTGCCAAGTCCTTTGGGAAACAGCTGAGAAAATTTGGAGGCAGCAAGTGATCCTGGGAAATTATTTTGCTAGTATCATACAAGAGACTCCATATCATGTTATTTACTAGATATAAACCTGTGTGATGCAGTGATTTCTAAAGTTACTGTACTCTCCCTCATATTTGCAAAAGACCTCACTGAATGTTTCTCCCAGTTTCTCACATTTGATAGTCACGACAACCCACTATGTAGGCTGGTCTATTTGATTTTACAGATGAGGAAACTGAGGGCCAAAGTGATGAATGATTTATACAGGGAAGTGATGGTTTTCTCTTTTGGAATCCTGTTCTTAGACAACTTTCTGGTCAAGCTGAGGGTCTTTATTCAGTGTCAATCCCTGCAATGTGGGCCATAGCAGGTTCACTATGGAAATGGATTTTTTTGAGTCACTGAAACCTGGATCAGAACCATAAGGGCACCTGCACATGTGAGCATGGAGTTTCCATACCTGGACATGTTCTGCTGTCACCTGATGGGTACGCCTGACTGTAACTTGTGGGCCATTGGTAAGATAAATTGTTTGGTTGGAAGATGACAAAGACACTGTCTACATCAAGGATCAGCAAATATTTTCTGTAAAGAGAACCAGATAGATAGTAACTATTTTAGGCTATGTCACTACTACTGAACTCTGCTGATGGGATGCAAAAGCTGCCATAGACAATATGTAAGTTAATGATAGAGATGTGCTCCAGTAAGATATTATTTACAAAAACAGGGGACAGGCTGTATGGCCACAGGCCAACCTCTTTCTGTAAGACTGTAAAAGTATTTCTGCTGTGTCCTGGGAGACCCAATACTCAATTTTGATTGTTAGATATATAAGAGTAACAGACACTTTCAAATTAGAACAAATATAAATGTACTAGATGAAAGCAGCCATCTGCTGAAGCAATCAAGATATTGTCTTTAAATAATTGTCTGAGCCAGTCAAGACTGAACAATTATTGGCCTAAAGGCAGCTAACATTCAGTCAGCTTTATTAAACCTATGTGAAGAAGAATCAGGAACTTGAAAGCAAGGATTGTTAGTATTTATCTGATGTTGACAGAGAGAGAGAGTGAGAGTGAGAGCGAGAGCGAGCGAGCGAGAGAGAGAGAATTTAAACTTGCCAATGATTCATTAAGACTTATCTGAATGGAAGACCTTCAAAATGGTCAGCCTCCCAATACCTGTCTGTCAGACTTCCTTTGTGTGTTCTGTCTTCCCTGGTTTGCTCTTTTAGGGAAGAATCATCCTGGATTGTGCTTATGAATACTTAAGTCACTGGAAAAAAACAAATTCCCATTGTAAAAAAATAAAATGGTGTTTGGTTTATAATTAGTCTTTTAGTATATGAGTCTGGTTAGTATGAGTGCGTCCCTGAAGATGAATGCCCTCTGAGTGTTCCGGCAAAATAATTTCTGGCCTTCCAATGCCAAAGACCAGCTTGGACCACGGTGACTCCTCAGCGTGCTGGCCTTGGAAGGCTAGTTTGGAGGATGGTTGGAATTATGGCATTTCCATGATGTCTTTTTCTGACTTCAGCATGGTTATATTCCTCCTGAATAGGTAGAGGAAATGTCCAAGGACACTTGCTTATTTAAGTTGCAGGGTTCAAGCCGGGCTCGGTGGCTCAGCCTGTAATCCCATGCTTTGGGAGGTTGAGGTGAGTGGATTGCCTGAGCCTGAGGGTTCGAGACCCGCCTGGGCAACTTGGCAAGACCTCATCTCTACAATAAATCAAAAAAATTAGCCAGGTGTGGTAGTGCGCGCCTGTAGTTCCAGCTACTCGGAAGGCTGAGGTGGAAGGATCGCCGGAGCCCAGCAGGTCGAGGCTGCGGTGGCCGGGAGTGGCCACTGCACTCCAGTCTGGGTGACAGAGTGAGACTCCAACTGAAAAAAAAAAAAAAAAAAAAACAAGTTGCAGGGTTCAAAGACAAATAACGGAAATTATGTTCTGGAAGGTTAATGTGGGCCATCAAACTTAGACTATCAATCACTCAGTGAGCAGTTTGTATAGGAGACTAGAGCCAGAAATTTTTGCTTTAACTATAACAACCTAGCAAAGACACAAATCAACTTACAAGTACTTGAACCTATTTTATTTAGTTGCCAGGACAATGTAGTCAGGATAGGTAAGGCTTATGCTGTGGTAACTGTTCCCACAGAGGGACACATAAAAATACATTCCACAGAGTGTACTTAAGAATGGGAAATGTGGGTGGAGGGAGGACTCTGCTTCACTTATTTACTCAAGGATGTAGGCTGGTAAAGGCTCTACCATCTGGAATGTCAGCGGTTGCCAGAAGGAAAAAGAGAAACTGGGGAATTACGTCAGGGCTTTTTGAACATCATTTCACTAGCTAGAATGTAAGTCTCATGGCTCATTTATTTCAAGAAGGCTTGGAAACGTCATCTTCTGTGTGTCTATCACAGAGCATGGGTTGCTGAGGAGGCATCTCAGATATGGCTGGCAGCAGAGGGAGTGGGTGGGTAAAAGTCCTAACTTAAGAGAAAGGAAGGAGAGTATGTCTGCTTCCTGATAATCTGCCCAGTTCTCTGTCTGAGCTATTCCAGGTTTCCACTAATGTTGCAGAGGCAAGTGGCATTTTCCAATTGAATAGATAGGACACGCTCACTCTTTTATTAAGATTCTATTAAGACAAGCCAGGGAGCTGCCTCCCTGCAGTCATTTGTAGCTAACTATTTCATAAGCACGGAGTAAGTTCTCCCCCATGACTCTGTCTCTACTGGGAACTCTTAAGAGCCAAGTTCCGAAAAGCATCCTGCAGGAGGGGAGACGGGGTTGTAATATTCTCCTACTTCCTTATCTTTGGTGTTAGGGTCTCTTGAATTTGGGGACTACACATGACCACAGATTATTTCAGATAAAGAACATGATCCAAGATAACTCTAATTGTCCTAGCCACCTGCCTTAATTCCCAGCAGAGCAGCTCCCTATACCCATATGCCAAATAAGGACACCAGAGGATGAAGAGTCAGGAGAAGAGAAGGATGTGGACAAGTGACTTAGATTATTTCTAAGACAGTAGCCAGGGAGTGCTATTCACAAGCTTTCTTTTTAAAATTTTTTTAGTTTTTATTCACAAGCTTTCAATAACCTTCTGGGAAGTTGGATGGAGCTAGATTCATTGGAAAAGGCTGGCATGAGATGGACAGAGAGGACACTGTGGGGAATGGAAGACTCTCTAGGCCTTTATGTTTTGGGGTAAGGGAAGTGAAAAGAATCCACTAGTGATTTGGGATATCCATGAAATTAATCACATATTTCTGTGAAACAAGCCTGACAAAATCTTGGCAAACCTGTTGATAGAATTTCTCATCAGAATTGTTCCTCATCAGGCCAAATGGCACAGGCCCTCACCACCCTCAGTCACTGAATACAGACTGTCTTGAGAAGGGCGTGACCTCATACAAGCACTCCTTGCAGCTGAGCATCCACTTATCCCTTGAAGGAGAGCCTAGGCAGCGCATCTCCATGCCTGCCACAAACTTTGTGCCCGTAGCACTTGCCTTGTTTTGGGTTTTTATCTTGAGAGGAACTCCAGAGATATAGCCAGATTTTAGAGTTAGACTGTCTGGAAACTCCAGCAAATATATCTAGCTTGGGTGGAAAACCTGGAGTGTAATCAGCTTAGTTGGTGACCCATTTCCCCCCTCACTGGTTAGCTTCTAAGCGGATTTTCTTTGCTGAGGCCTTTTGTAGGGTACAATGTATATCATGAGCCTTACAGGAACACATGGAATTTCAATATTCAACTGGAAGTTCCCCATTTAATAGGGTTGTAGGCTTTTCTGGTTTGGGAGATTCTGTTGGTGGGAGGTGAGTTACTGTTTTGGTAGGTGATGTTTTTAACATAATTTCAAAAAATTTAAAAAATGTGGCTAGGTGCAGTGGCTTGTGCCTGTAACCCCAGCTACTCTGGAAGCTGAGGGAGGAGAATCGCTTGAGCCCAGGAGTCTGAGCAACATAATGAGACAGTGTTTCTAAAAAATAAATTAAAATAAAAAAGTAAATTCCTAGAAATACTGTGAGGTATTTATTAATAGTATTACTTTGCAGAGGACACTCCCAGAGATTAAATGACATTTCAAAGATCTCAAGACTCAGAAGTACAAGCAAGAGAGAAGACTCCACAGGACAGGGTCTTCAACATTTTGTTCCACACCCCAGTCCTTTCATTTAGCAAGAGTGTAGCTTAAAGCAGATGACTGATAAATATTTATGGAATGAATGAAGAGTGAAAGAGCGAGTATCTAAGATCACACACACACACACACACACACACACACACACACACACACACACACACACACCTTTTTAAAAATGTAGGTCTTTCATTTTGATGATGTAAAATGCACGGCATTCAGGAAAAGTTGTAAGGTACAAGAAAAAAAAAGAAGCCTTGGTTTAATCAGAAAATACCCCTTGTGTCTGAAACTGATTATCCAAGCTTCAGATGCAGCTGTCACAATGCACTAGAAGCATTACTATACCACCCAAGGGGTTAGGGAGAGGAAAAATGATAGGAATGAACACAGAATTACTTTGTCATTCCCTATCTGCTTTCACTGACAAAATGGCTGGAAATTCTAGGTTTCAGGAACCAATTGTGAATGATGAAGTATGAGATGGATTTCTGACCAAATCTCCAGAACAGTGGTGCTCAGAATGGCATTACCTGCGTTTTTCTCAGACTTCCTTACAAGAGATTGAGGAAAAGTAGAACCGGGGTGGAATTGGACATCTGACTTAGAGTTTGCTTTCCAGATTAAAAAACCCCAGACAAATGATGGATGTTCTGACTTTAGTTAAGAGACATCACTCCTTCTTCATATGTTCTGACTGAGCCTGTGATCTGGGCTGTAACAGACCTCAGAGCTCCCAGGGGCTTTGCCGCTGCTGTGCTGACCTACATCACCGTGGATTACCATTAATAGGATTTGCCACTCGGAAGCTGGGACTATACTTATTCAAAACTCACAAGGTATTGTTTACAGAGGAATATGGCTTCAGTTTTTCACCATTTCCTGATAGTTCTGATCTTTCTGGATACGCATACAAGTCAGTCTTTCTGTCTGCCTGGATGTACCTGCTCAGAGGAGAGTTTTGGCAGGTGCGCTGTGCTGACCAGATGTCAGAGGGTTATAGGGGATGGGCTTTCTTTGGGGATGATGTGGAGTGGAAGCAGGCCTAGAATCAGCTAAATCTCTGAGACTTATTCTAGTTGGTGCTGGACTTTGCTGAACTGTGTATTCTTACCAAAATAGACCTAACCCTTTTATTTCAAGAAACTCATATTTTTTTTCCCTTCTAATTCACAAGTCTAATGCCAGGATCACCTTAATCCCATTTTATGGTCCCTGATATTCATCTTAAGATTTCTGGTTTCTTGTACAGGACTCTGCAGTGCATGTCAATCTCTTTGAAAAAGATCCCAGGGAATCTTCCTGAAGAGTTCAAGCAAGTGAGAATAGAAAAGTCACCCTTATTTGAACTGCCCCGAGGGTCTTTCATCAACATGAGTACCTTGGAATACCTTTGGCTCAATTTTAACAATATCACTGTGGTCCACCTGGGAGTCCTGGAGCATCTGCCAGAACTGAGAGAGCTGAGACTGGAGGGAAATAAACTTCGTTCCGTACCGTGGACTGCATTCCGTGCCACCCCTCTCCTGCGGGTCTTGGATCTCAAACACAACAAGATTGACGCACTTCCTGAGCTGGCTCTTCAATTCTTGGTCAACCTGACCTACCTTGACCTCTCCTCCAATAGGCTTACAGTTGTATCCAAGAATGTCTTCTTGAACTGGCCGGCCTATCAGAAACGCCGACAGCTTGGCTGTAGGTCCGAGATTCTTTCCAGCCTGGTGGTGGCACTGCACAACAATCCTTGGGTATGTGACTGTCGCCTAAAGGGACTTGTCCAGTTTGTCAAGTCCATTACCCTCTCAGTCATCCTGGTGAATTCCTACCTGATATGCCAGGGTCCTCTCTCCAAGGCAGGGCAACTTTTTCATGAAACTGAGCTCAGGGCTTGCATGAAGCCACGGATCTCAACCCCCAGTGCTAATGTTACCATCCGGGTAGGACAGAATGTGACCCTGCAATGCTTGGCACAGGCTAGTCCCTCACCAACCATTGCATGGACTTATCCCCTGAGCACGTGGAGAGAATTTGATGGTAAGCTACATGCACCTTCACAGTGTATTTGGGAAGAATGGAGAGGTTTGTAGTGATCTCATCCTCATTAGAGAAGTTCTAAACTGGGTCAATCACGAAGGATGGGTGCAGGTAAGACTGGGATAGGCCTGCATTATGCTCACCACAACAGAAAAGTTTCCAAGATAGTGTTTCACTACCAGCATTATTTTAAATGTTTGCACACAGCTCTCCCTAGGATATATATGTGTGTGTGTGTGTGTGTGTGTGTGTGTGTGTGTGTGTGTGTGTAATATGTATTTGCAAATACACATATTGGGGCTTATATAATATCTTGTATAAATGTTATAAGATTGTGTATGAACAAATATTTCCTTTGAGAGTCTTCTAGATGAAAAACACTATACTATGTATTTTAGAATTCTAGAATTTCTGACTAGAATTGGTTCTAGAGTTAATGTATTGCTTATTTTCTAAACTTGCCTGAACAGAATTTTCTGGGATGCTTGCTCGAAATAAGATTGATCAGACCTTAATGGCTTGAAATTGTATTACTGGAGCCCAGAAAGAGGAAGTGACCTCTGTGGACCCCGGGACTGAGATTCAAACATGCTTCTCCTTTACTGGAGCTCTGTGTTCTGTTTTCATGTCTCAGTTGGGATCATTTTTTTTTTTTGAGTCGGAGTCTCATTCTGTCACCCAGGCTAGAGTGCAGTGGCATGCTCACGGCCACCAAATCCTCGACCTGCTGGGCTCAGGTGATCCTTCCATCTCAGCCTTCCAAGTAGCTGGAACCACAGGCATGTGCCATGACACCTGGCTAATGTTTTGATTTATTGTAGAGACAAGATCTCACCATGTTGCTCAGGCTGGTCTTGAGCCCCTGAGCTCAGGCAATTCTCTCACTTACACCTCCCAAAGTGCGGGATTACAGGCTTAAGCCACTGCACCTAACTTTTGGATCACTTTTAATGCCACCCTGTAGCGCTGGGCATATCACAAAGCCAGGGATGACCTCTCAGAGGCATCATGAAGCTGAAGAAATCCTTTGTAGATTCCTATATCTTCCGTTGTGCTCTGTCTAGAAGATAACTAAAAGTATCTAGGTAAAACTTGGGAAATGCAGTCAGTTGCTCAGACTTTTGTTATATATGATAACAAACCTCTGAATCATTTTTAAAAACAACCAATTAACTGAAGTTTTCACCTTTTTACATCATCTAAGTCATATCTTATTGGCTTGAGGTTCAATATCAATTAAGGAGAGAGATAGGATTTATTATTGTAGCCTCTTTGAAAACGGAGAAATGCAGTCAGATGTTGTCTTTTGTGATGCTTTATGATCAGTCTTTGGCATTGTGTTATATGCATTCTACCAGTAAAAATAAAAGCTAGGACATACTGAACACTTGCTATCAAACTTATGGGGTGAATGGTATTATCACCATATTTTGTTGATTAGGAAATTGATGCCAAGAGAATTTAAGCAGCTTACCCAGGACCACATACTTAGTAAGGGATAGGAACCCAGGTATTTGACTCTGAGACATTGCACATCTGGAAAGTAAGGAGGCACTTCTTGAAGCTCAAAATATTGCACAATCATGGTCTTGAGACATCTCCTGAAATTCATGGTTCAACAAGGCCGAGGTGGTTTAATAGGAGCAGCTAGAGAAGTTGAAAGAGTGTGGTCTTCACAGATAGAAGAACCATGTTCCAGATTAATCGTTGCTTCTGAACAACTTTTACTATGGGCAAGTTGATTGATTGCTTCAGTGCTCAACAACCTATGTATAAAAATCAGTTGCTTACCTTACAGGGTTGCTGGGAGGCAACACCCAGGTACAAGCTTAATAAGTGGTTACCACCACCTTTTAACAAAAAACTGGCATTGCTGGACACTTTCCAGCTGTCTATCAGAGAAATGATGTGCAGCTGTTTTGCTCTTCTCTCCACCCAGTGTCGTCCTCTTCTACCGCAGAAGACGTTGCTCTGTCAGAGCTGGCCATACCAACCGCCCACCTGGTAGACAGCGGTAATTACACCTGCGTGGCCTCCAACTCCATCGGCAGGAGCACCCTTGTTATCTCCCTCCATGTTCAGCCTGCCCAGGCCCTGTCTGCACCTCATACTCTTTCCATTCCCTGGGAGGGCAATGCCTACGTTGACCTTCGAGTTGTGAAGCAGACGGTGCATGGGATCTTGCTGGAGTGGCTTGCAGTGGCTGATACCCCAGAGGAGGAGTGGTTTACCCTCTATGTTGCTTCGGATGAAGCCCTCAGAAAGGAGGTGGTCCACATTGGCCCCGGAATAAACACCTACGCAGTTGAAGACCTCCTTCCTGGCACGAAATATGAGGCCTGCCTCAGCCTGGGAGGCCAGCCTCCACGCCAGGGCCAGTGTGTGGTCTTTGTGACAGGAAAAGATCGCGGTGGGCTGGAGGCACGCGAGCGCCTTCTGCACATCACAGTGGTCCTGTGTGCCGTGCTGCTTGCCGTGCCTGTGGGCGTCTACGCCTGGGCAGCCCAGGGTGCCTGCAGCTGCAGTGACTGGGGACTGTGCTGCTGTCCTCACTGCAGGAAAGGCCCCAGGTTCCCCCGTGCAGCCCCGCAGTGCAGGGATGGTTCCTTTAGAGATGATCCAGCTGCCTATGAGGATAGTGAGGGGCACACAGGCACTGAGGAGGATGAGGAGAAAGAAGGAGAGGAAGATGGCAGCTGAATAACCCCCGACATAGGATAGAAATGGTGTTGACCCCTAGCCCCTGAAACCCACCCTCCTTGGCCACTCACTTGGCTCCATCCATTTATTCAACAATAGATTTATTGAGCACCTACTGTATTCCAGGCACTAAACTTGACACAGGGGGTTCAATAGTGAAAAGGGAGACATAGTCCTTATCTTCATGGAGTTAAAGCGAATGGAGATTTGTCCTATCAAATTAATCATTTTGTCATACATGGTTATTGGAAATTAATAAATGTTACCCTTTGCATATACATAGCCCTATAACATTTACATGTTTACATGTGACATTTACACATAACATTTCACATGTGTTATCCTGTAATGGAAGGTAGACTTCTACCCCTGTTTATAGGTGAAGAAACTACATGTTGGCCATTTCAGTGATGTGCCCAACATCTCCCATCTGGCAGGCGGTGGTGGAGGCACCACTCAAATCCCTTTGTTTCCTCACATGTCTGCTTTGCAGTATTCTTGTGTCTCCCATTATTCAGAAAGAGTGACTCTCTTTTTTCATGGAAATTCCTAATGTAACTACATAAGTGTGATATTCCTAAGAACTGCCCTTTGGGGCAATGAGAGCCTGGTGGATGACTCTGCCCTGTGAGAAGCCTTGGGTGCAGCTGAGCAGACTGGTGCTGTCAGTACTAAGGAGCAGGATATTGGCTGCAGCCCAAGGCTCAGGTTCCAGTGACTGACAGAGAGCAGCGTCCTGAGGGCCATACCCAGAAGGGAAAGAATTTATATAGAATCATATGATTCTACCTATCTATTGTCTATCTGTCTATCATCTGTCTATATATATCTATCATAGATTTATTTTATACTTTTTTTTCCAAGAGTAGTTTACCCAGTCCTGATCCTCACCTAGTCCCATAAGATTGTGAGTTTGGGATTTTTTTCCCCAGCCCTGTGACCCTAATGCCTTAGTGCTGAAAATGACCAATGTTTGTTATATGAATAAAAGAGATAATACCCATCCCTTCCGTAATCCATGTCTCAGGCCCTCCTATGGAATTCATGAGATGTGTTCGTCCTGTTTCCTGGGCTCCTGTGGGGTGGAGAGGCCCCAAGAACCTCAGAATCAGCTCATTGTGCCTCCGGCAGCCTTGCTGAGAGAGAACTTTTCCACCATTTAGGTCCACATCTGTGTCCCTGTAGTTTCTTCCACTGGTCACAGAAAAATCCCCTGGCAAGTATAAGTATCAGCTGGTCTTGTTGTGACATTTCCACACAGATTTTCTCCTCCTTCCTTACCAATTCCTACTCATCCTTCTAGACTATTCAAGTACCTATATCATGTCCTCACGGAGCCTGCCTTGACTTTACGTCTCTGGAGAGAAGAATAGCATGCAAGTGTGTCCATTCACTGTGAGATCTTTGGGGGCAGAGACTAACCTTCCTTGCTACGGTCACTGCATACTTCCAAGACCTAGATCGTGTTGATAATCAATGTAGGTTACATTACATCTTTAACAAGTGAAGTCAGCGTTCCTATTCAGACCAATTGTCCCCTCACTTCTCCAGGTTCTACTCATTTGTTTTCCTCTGGGCATTATAAAAAGGCCTCACTTAAAAAAATTTTTTTTAAACTATTTATTTGTATATTTCTTTAAAATTTTCCCCTCATACTTTGTTAGTTGATATTTACATTATTACTAAGATGAACATGCATATACAGTTTCCTTTTTTTCCCCCCTAGTCCTATAAAAACACCATTTTCTTAGCCATTAGCATAAATGACAGGATCATATACATGGTTTTCTTTGTAGGATTTAGTACAAAGTAGGCACCTAATAGAGTTAGATATTTTATTAATATTAGAAGTAAATTAAAAGTAGTATGATAATTGTATTGCTTCTTTAACATTTCTTATATCTATCACATCTTCTTTAGTTTCAGTTCTACTGTCTCAGATCCTATCCTTATTTTCTCTGCTTTTCTTCAATTCATTAACAACCCTGCAGCCAGAGCAAGTAAGCCTCACTTTCAATTTTAGTCACACCAAAATTAGAGAGAATCTCATTTATCCCCTTCAGTCAACTTTAACATTTTCCAGTCTCATTTCATCTAGTCCTTGCCCTCACTTTTTTTTTTTTTTTTTTTTAAACAGGAGTATGTTGAAGCTAATAGAAAGCTTCATTCTAATTTATCTGTAAATATTTTAGTTTTAGCTCTAACAGATAAAGAAGTTTTAAAAAACATAACCACAATGTTCTCATCACTCCTAAAAACATATATTTTAAATTATATGGATATATATATTTAGATATGCACATATGTACGACAACATACACATGTGCAATGTAGTAAAGAATTTGTGTATAATTTCCTACGATAAATTTTTGAAGGAAGGTGGTTGGAGCAAGACAAGAATTTGTGCTTCTTGGCCTGTGGCACTTCCTTCCATAGGCTCAAGGGCAGTCTACAGATCTTGAGGGTTCAGCCATCATGATATGGCCTGGGGCTACCATGAAAGTGGGAGTACATGTTCTGAATGTCACTTCCAGCAAAAAAACAAAACAAAACAAAAAACTTGGTGGTGCACAGGGGACAGAGGGGTCAGGAGAAGGGAAGGGGTATGGAAGAGGAACAAGCAGCACAGAGAGTCAGGAGCATATTGGTGGGCTGGGCAGTGTTCAGGTGCTTCTGTAAATGTGGAAATTTAGGGAGAAGGAATACGGCCAAAAGAGGATTTCTGGGAATCTGATACTTTTTAAGACCATTGGGCCGTCCCTTTAAAAAAATCCTAAAGATTCACATTACCCAGATGAATGTGTAGACAATTTGACAGTAAAGATAATAGAATAGATAGAGCCTAGTTTCTTGGGCTTAAATTGTGTCTTTACTTCTTACTGGTTTTGTGACATCAGGTAAGTTACTCTCTTTATCTGTGCTTTGGTTTTCTCACCTGTAAAACAGTGATAATAATAGCTCCTATATCCCATAGGGTTGTTCTGATGATTATGCGAGGGTTTTTTTTTTCCATGTAAAATGCTCAAAACAATGCCTGACACATAGTAAACCCTTAGTAAGTGTCATGATAAGAAATGCTATCATCACTTAAGGTGTCTATGTCAGCTTGTGCTTTCTTTAAATGTGACTCAACATATAGATGGGGCTATTTGGAATATCAGATCTTATTAGGGCTACATATATATGCATATTTTAAAATATAAATGTAATGGCATGATGTCTATGCTAATATCCTTTACATGTCCTGTTTAGTTCATGTTGAAAAGACGCTACAGTTTTAGATTCAGTTGTTATGCTTTTGGGAAGCTGACCTATTTAGAGTTTAGGGCATGCAGTTTTAAGGCAAATGCCTTTGATTGAAGAGACATTTGTAAGCAGGGCTACTTCCTTTTAGAATGAAACCATCCTAGTCCAAGTCCCAGGCCTCTGCTATGAGCAAATGAGGAATTTTGTTCTCCTTCTTCTCCTCGTCTTTTTTTCTCCTCCTTCTCTTCTTCTTCCTCCTTCTTCTGAGACAGGGTCTTGCTCTGTCATCCAGGCTGGAATGTAGTGGTGTGATCACAGCTCACTGCAGCCTCAAACTCTGGGGCCTCAAGGAATCCTCCTGCTTCAGCTTCTCAGGTAGTTGGGACTAAAGGCACAGACCACCATGCCCAACCTATTTTTTATTTTTGTAGAGTTGGGGTTTTTCTAAGTTTCTCAGGCTGGTCTTGGTCTTAAGTGATTCTCCCACATTAGCCTCCCAAAGCTCTGGGGTTACAAGCATGAACCACTGCACCCAGCCTCTGTCTTGTTAGAGCCTGCAAACCTAATACATAGAAGAGGGTCTGGCACAGATGATATACTCCTAACATGTGTCATCATAGGAAAGACTAAGTAAACTACTGAGTAATGAATAAATGATTGAACCTCATTCAGCCAAAGTGATACACATGCATGATTTCATAGTGTCACACAGATGTCTCCAACATCATCCTGTTGCTACTTCACTTGATTATCTAACGATGTTATCTTAAGTCATGACCAACCACTTCATTCTGGAGACCAGGCCCTTCAGGGGACCTACCCACATTATTTCTGTGTCTCCTAAGGGATCCTCTATGTGTTCACATGCCAATCTGCCTGCCTTAGTCCTCATGCGCCACCTTCTCCATTCTCCCTGTCCATCGTTCTATGGCCAAGGCCCTTGAAGACTGTCAGAGATGCATCACTGCCTGCCAACAGATGCCACTACCTCTTCTGGGTGCTCTGGCCCTGGAGTCTCTCAAGGTCTCCAGTCCTCGGAGACAGAATCACTGAAGTCCTCAGGGGAGAAGGGCACAGTGACTCCTCCCTAGCTCAGGCCACACTTTGCCAACAGGACTCTGAGGGAGAGCTACTTTGGGACAGAGTCCTACAGATTCTCTTAGGGAAATCTCATTATTTCTTATGTCTTTGGCATGACAATGACCAAATGCAGGCTGCAGGCTGCACAGGTCACAAATGTGGCAGCATCTGCTCTGCCCCGCTCTACTTCCTTCCCCGACCACTCTCCTCTGTTTTCCTAGCATGAAGCAAAGGCTTCTGGGCCTACTGATGGGTGGAAACATCCTGGTGGTGAGGATGTGTAGAAGGGATTCTCTCCTCCGGGATGTGGTGCTCTACTATGTGGGCCACAGTCATAGCAAGTGTCTACTGAGCTCGTATCAGTAGATATGGAGCCAGTGCTGGGTGCTTTACATATATTAGCTCTTATGACCCTTGTAGCATCCATTCTTTGCATCATGTATTGATGAGGAAAGTGAGGCCCAGAGTGACTTGGCCTCTTGCCCAAAGTCACACTTAAGTGACAGAACAAGAATTCAGACCTAGAGCTGTCAAGCTGTAAAGCACCTTGTTATTACAGATGATCAGAAGATCTAAGCTCAGCTGTGGAGGAAAATGATTCCAGAGTTCTTTGAGTCACATCTGCTAATTAGCCATGGGACTAAAATGCAATGGGAAAGCCTTCCCAGTGTGCTGTTCTTACCTCTCAGCTCTTTACCAGGAGATCTACTATTGTGCCACCTTGCAAGTCAGGATCTGTCCTGCTGGGACTGAGCAGGCAGCCTCTCAGCCCATCATTCTCTAATGCAGGGACTTGGCCTGCATCACCCCACTGATGGGGTCTCCTTATGTGCTGATCACCTTTGCTAGTCCCTCAGGTTTGGCTGCACCTCCTCCTCTTTCTCGGTACAGCTCAGGCTGGCTGACAGGTGCTTCTCCACCCACGGTCAGTTTGCAAGATTGACTTTGCCTTGGTTCAAGTTCCTGGCTTACTAGGAGCCCACCACTCTCCCAGGGCCCATCTGCTGGCTTGAGTTTCCTGCCCAGAGGTCTTTATCACCACCGTCCAAGAGTGAGGGACGACACTACTTCCCAGGCTGCCATGCCCACACTAAACCTTCCAATTCCTGTCCTTGATTAGGCTGCACTGGGGTTGGGGGTAATTAGTTCTAGCTCTAGACCCCATTCTTTTCCAAGCATCCCTGCCTGAGCTTGTCCTGCCTGGGAGAAAAGCCCAATTCAGGTAGATAAGGCCTGCAAATGTGCTGCTGTTAGAGGTGAACACATGAAAATTTGGGCAAAATTTTGCTAACTCCCTCAGAGTCAGATCTGGGGGTCAAAGAATGGGTCCACTCACTGAAGAGCAGGGAGGCAAACTAAGCTTTGCTGTGTGTCAGAAAGGTTGGTCTCCCCAGATCAGTGAATACAAATGAAGGCAGGTAGCAGCAGGTCAGCTTGGCCTTTGGCTAATAGATTTTATTTACCATTTACAAAAGAAATTGATTGCATGCAAACTGTAAAGATGCTGTATTCCCTGTGAGAGCAAATATGAACTGGCATAGCCCTCTCCTGAAGCATCGGCTGGAGAGTACCTGTTTGTTCAGTCTAGTCTCCTGGATTATTAGAGCCCACCTTTCACCTAATACTGTCTGAGGGGGGCCACAGAAACCTGGGCAAGAAGTCTGCACACTGGCTATCTCAGTCTCATTTCAAAACAGACTCAGAAATCAAGAAAGTCACATGTACCTATAATCTGTTTAAAATCAATGATGTACTCTACAGGGTTCTCAGTGAGTGGAGCAAAATGCAAAGAACTGTTCTACTTTTCTGTGTGTATGTGTATGCATCTGAATTTCCTTATAATAGGTTCCTTAAAGTAGGGCAGAAACTCTTTGTATTAACTACAGAGGCCTTGCATCATTTCTTTTTGTGGGGGAGGTTGTCACAATTTGATGGGGAGTGCCCAGGCTAGAGGAAAATGCCAAGGGCAGAAAGCCCTCAGACCAGACCCCTGCAATCAACCTGCTGTTTGGCCTCAGGCAATTCACTCCACTCTTGGGAACTCATTTTCCTCAATCTAACAAAATGGAGGCTTGCTCTGGAAGCTGTTGCCCAACTCTGCTTCTTTCTGATGGTGGCTGGTCAGGGTTGCATGGGCATGGGGTGAGGGAAGAACAGAAAGGGAGGTATGTGAGTCAAGGGTAATGCCATCATGCAGTGGTAGCCATCAAACCCAGCATAGGCCCTCCTGGGGCCCTTGGCGGAGTAGCTGCGAGGAGTCTAATACTTTACAGAAGAGCTGCAACCAAATAACTGGCCTGCAGGAAAATACATTGCATTTGCGCTACCGTGCACTTAGTTAAAACCGTCATCACCACTATTTTCTTTGGTCCTCACCCTAGACTTGCAAGTGAGGCAGACAGCCTTACTTTTTTCATTTTGCAGATGAAGAAGATGATCAGGGAGTTTAAACAGTTTTCCCAAGCAGAAGAACTAAATAAAAATGGGAAGTCTCCCCAGATCTCAGTCGTGATATCCATCTACTGCCCTGCACTGTCTCTTCAAGGACCACTAGTGGGGCAGCTCCACAGAGAGGGGCCCTGATGTTCTTCCAGATGTCTTGAGGGCTATCCTTGTGGCATTTCTGGGCCGCAGAGCAGTCCTGGCTGGGGACATCTTCCCTCACTCTTGGCCCATCTTCTACCTCCGTGTCCATGGTCCCACATGGGTACAGCAGGACCCACCATCTCTGCACAGATGCCATGCTCCATCTTTCAGGCATGGCCTCGCCGTTGGTCTGAGTGTTCAGTGCCTCTTTGTCCTCCTTTTCCTGCATTTGCTCTCCTACAGCCCACAAAGCCTTGCCTGAGTCAGGACTGCGCCTCCTTTTCCTGTTCCTGCTCTCAGCTGCAGGCTTCAGGACCCAGATTCTAGTTGGCCTTGCTCCATGTGGCCAGGGCCCTGCTCCTGAGTAAAAATTATGAGTGAGGTAAGGTCTGGGGTTGGTGAGCAGAAGATGCATAAAGTTGGCTCCTTGTCAATTCCCAGCCCTGAAGAATGGGGTAGCCATGTCAAGGGCTTGGGTAGTGGGGAAGTATGTGGCAATTGCAACCCATAGCCCGAGAAATCTCCTGACCAAGGCCCTGTCAAAAACCCTGCATGTGGGGGTTACACCTTTGTGTACAAAATGGAGTGACCTTAAGGAGCAGAGGGTGGGAAGCATGGTCCAAGCAGCAAGGACGGTTGGGGTTGGGGATAGGGAAGACATGGAGCGGCGGTGCTCAGGACACATTCTGGAAGTAAACCTTGCGTCCACTCTTCTTCTCAAACTTTTGCTTGAGCTCAGAGACAAGAGTCGACTGGGTGGGGCTTTCCATTGTTTTGGGTCTTGGTGGCGTTTGGGGCTTCTGGGGCGTGAGTGACCCAGAGACTGTAGGCACGGTCCAGTGGGTCGTACCCGTGCTGGGCGACATGCTGGGAGGTGGAGGGAGAGCTGGAGGTTTGGGGGGCAGGGAGCTTTCTTGGCTATTGTTGTTGCAGTTCTCATTGGGAGGATCCTCTTTGAGCATGAACTTGGTGGCAGCCTTGGTGCTCCTGGACTTGAGCCACTCTATGCGGATGGCACGGGGTGCAGGGCTGGATCTCTTGCGGAGCACGCGCTTCACTGGCAGAACCTTGTTGGACTTCTTGTTGCGCCAGAAGGTGGCGGTAGAGATGAGGACAGTGATGGCCACAACCATGGCCATGATGCCAGCCAGCACACCCACCGCCTTCATGGGGTTGTCCTTGGTCTGAATCAAGAAGGCGGCCATGGGACTTCGGGACAGCGTCTGGAAGAGAGAGCCACCCCCTGCACTCAGCTGTTTCTGCCTGGTCCCTGGAGGACAGAGCAGGGCATTAGCTTCCTTAAGCCTAATTTTAATTTTTTTTCATAAGTCAGTGTCTCTCACTCTGTCGTCCAGGCTGGAGTGCAGTGGTATGATCACAGTGCACTTCAGTATCCTGAGTAACTGGGACAATAGGCTTGGGTCACCAAGTCTGGCTCATTTTTAGTTTTTTGTAGAGATAAGGTCTTGCTATGTTGCCTAGGCTGGTCTCAAACTCCTGGGCTCAAGCCTTTCTCCCACCTCAGTCTCTCAAAGTGATGGATTACAGGTGTGAGCCACTGTACCTGGCCAAATCTGATGGCTTTTCAACTTTCTGGGGTCAGGTATCCCTTTGGGAATTTGATAAGCACTATGGGCTTCTGTCCAGAAAAATGCACAAGAGAGAGAGCTGATGCACTCAACACTCAAAAAAAAAAAAAAAAAAAGCACACAGATAGTGCATGGTAAAGATCACTCTCTAGAACAACACACTCAAAATGTGATGCAAACAGTCTTTTTGAATTCAGAACTCCTGCTTTAGCTGGACTCTGTCCTTGAGAGATTAGAATATCACTTACGTTTGATTATGCAGGAATCCTTTAGCCCAAATGTATCAGGAACCCCTTAATGTGACTACTTTTGTGCCAGACACTGAGCTGAGAACTACATATGATTTTATTTCTGCCTTTCAGCACTCCTGTGAAAAAGGCATCATTATTCTCATTTCACAGGAAAGGTAATGGAGGCTTAGCAAAGCCTAAAGTCAAATCATTAGTAAGCATTAGAAACTAGAATTTCAACCTGATTCCAAAGCCTATACATTCAATGGCACAGGCTGCCTTTGATAACACTGGGTATCTTTTGGAGGAAGCCTGAGGTGGTCCTCCCTCTGCTCACAATGCAGAGAGGCCTGAACTGGCCCTCTAACCCCCTTTCCTGACTGTGGATTTGCACCTACCTCAGTGTCTGTGATGTCAATCTTGAGTAAAGCCGTGGTGCTGAAGGATGGAGAACCCCGGTCCTTGGCTTGCACCTCCAGGGACCATGTGCAGTCTCTACTGGGTGTGATGTTGTGCAGGGCATCCAGGGAGCGGATGGAGTTCTTGAGCCAGATCTCCCCCGTGTGTGCATCAATGTCAAACACATTAGCCGGCTCTACATGGGTGATGGAATAGTCCACCAGGTTGTTGGGCTCTTCTGCATCCTCATCTGTGGCCTGTGCACAGGGAGAGACAGATAGGGCTGGTCTTCAGGGACCATACCTATCTATACTGGCTAAATCAGCATGTCATATGGGGCTTGCTGGGTTGGTGGGAAATGATCCTGATTCTATTTTGAGTGGATTGAGTTGGGGGAAAAATAGAATGTATGCCCTACTACGAGCCAAGGTCCATGTAGGCCCTATACATGTGTTATACCATTTCATTCTCAGAAAAAGTCTAAGAAGTAGGTATTGGAGAATCTGACTTTGAATCCCATCCCTCTTTGCCTTGCCTCTATATCTTTGCTTTCTGCTTGACTGCTAAATGACTTGTCCAAAGATATAGAGGCAAGGCAAAGAGGGATGGGATTCAAAGTCAAGTGTGTTCGGTTTCAGATTTCACACTTTTTGCCACATTAGGAAAATGTGAGAAAATCACTTCTTTGTAGGCAGTCAGACCAGCTACATGAACCAAGGCAAGCCAAACACTTAACCCATCTAAGCCTCAATTTTTTTCATTTGTAAAATCATGATAATGTCTTCTTTCTCACAGGTTACTTCTGAGTTGGGTTGGGAATGGGAATGGGGATGGGAATTCCAATACATTTTATTTTAAACTCAATTTAAATTTTCATTTTATTTTAAACTAAATTTTCTGTAGCTGCTAGACCAGGGTTCTCGGGGAGACCAAATGCCTCCAAAGCCCACCTCAATTTTCACTGGGGTCCCTAGCACCATTGTCTTCTTCTGGACACTCTTTCCAAATTGAGGGTAGTGGTCATTGATATCCAGCACTGTGATGAACACCTCAGCCAGGCTGTAGCTGCCCTCCATGTCCTCCGCCTTCACATAGAAGTTGTACCTGGCAGTAGCCTCAGCATCCAGGTTGGCCCAAGGTTGGGTGTAGATAAGCCCAGTGGATGGGTGGATCAGGAAGCTGCCAGGCACAGAGAGTGCAGGCCTGGGTGTGCAGGCATACATGCACGCGTGTGCACGCACATGTGCACACACACATACACCTGCAATAATCAGCTGCCTCTGGAAGCACAGTGAGGCATCACACAGCTCCTCCAAGGTGTGTCACCTGCTCCCTCCCATCCTTGCAGTCTGACTGAGAAAGGGAGGTCCACCGGTGAACTCACCCATCCATCACCCGCTTAACAGTACCAGTTGCAGCCGTTCCTTCTCCTCCCATGGCCTGCTCCCTCCCCAGCTCAACCCTGCTTGCCTGGCTTTCGAGGCCATGGGCCACAGATCCTCAGGCATGGCAATGACTTCCTCCCCCAATGTGTGCCTCTGCTCCAGGCTCTCCACTGTTTCCCTCCACTCCAGGCTACCATGCTACCCAACCAGGCTCCTGACTCTCCCAAGGACCTCCTGTTTTGCCACTGACCCCCTCTACCCTCAGTCTCCCAGACCCTTTGCCCAAAGCGCTGTCTGGGATTCTGGATCTACTTACAGGTCTGCCCCGGGCCCATAGATGGAGTATTTGACTTCACCCCAGGGTCCTGTGTCTGGATCCACAGCCTGGAAGAGAGAAAGTCCCTGGTTGCACGTGCCTTGTCAGGGCACGTTGGCAGCTCCTGTATGTGAGGGCTGCTTTCAATGGCAAAGCAAGGGGATTTGGGATTTACCCAAATGGGGAGAAGTTGATCTGGAGGCCTGCCCTGGAGTCCCATTTTTCCTCCAAGGAGTTGTCACATATTGAAGGAACCAAATGATTTAGATTTGGAAAGCATGTATTCCTCCTTTATAAATGAGGAAGAAAAAGGGGATGGATCCTGTGCCCAGTACTTGGGGTTTACACATATGTCCTCATTACAATCCTGTGAAGTGTTGCTATTCTCCATTTTTTTTGTGTGTGTTGGAGTCTCACTCTGTCACCCAGACTGGAATGCAGTGGCATGCTCCTGGCCACTGCAGCCTCGACCTGCTGGGCTCCGGTGATCCTTCCGCTTCAGCCTTCCAAGTAGCCGGAACCACAGGCGTGTGCTACCATGCCCGGCTAATTTTTTATTTATTGTAGAGACGAGGTCTCCCCAAGTTGCCCGAGATGGTCTGGAACCTGCGGGGTCAGGCAATCCACTCACCTTGGCCTCCCAAAGTGCTAGGATTGCAGGTTGAGCCACTGAGCTCGGCCGCTATTCTCTATCTTACAGGTGAAGAAGCTGAGGCCTACAGGGCAAGTAGCTTGTCCAAAGGCAGCTAATGAGTGTGGACTTTGCCATTCAAGTTGAAACCCAAATTTGTCTCACTTCGCAAGGTCCCCCACCCCACCCCAGTCCCTGAGTCAGTCCCCAACCCACTTTGATAGCCACCACGTTGGAGCCTCCTGGGGCGTTTTCAGGGATCCTGGCAATGTAGTAGTGGGAGGTGAATTTGGGAGCGTTGTCATTGGTGTCCAGGAGCTGGATCACAATATCTGCCGTGGCACTGAACTTCTCTGGGGTGTTTACCTCAATGGCCAGGAGCTGGGAAGGAAGGAAAACGAGGACTTGTCTGGGTGGGCAATCACTGTGTGGAGAGCCATCCTACCTCCTGTCTCCCAGGACTGGTCCAACATCCCCCTGCTGTGTCTCTTGTTCTTGCCCACAGTTGCCAACCTGTTATTCCTGCCACCATTTGCAAGATCACCTCTAAGGCCTAACATCATCCCCCAACTTCCCAGTTACCTTGCTATGTCAGCTTTCTCATCATTCCTATTGTTTTGGGATCAGTTTCTTTTCTTCTATTGATCTATAAATTATTTTCTAGTTCTAATTTTCTTGACAACCCTTTGTTTGGGGGGAGGAGGGATTCAGGCTCTTACTCTGTCACCCAGGGTGGAGTACAGTGGCACGATCATAGCTCACCACAGCCTCAACCTCTTGGGCTCAGGCAATCCTTCCACCTCAGCATCCCAAGTAGCTGGGACTACAGGCATGCACCACCAGGCCCAGCTAATATTTTGAATTTTGTAGAGATGAGTTCTGGCTATGTTGCTCAGGCTGGTCTCTAATTCCTGGGCTCAAGTGATCCTCCTGTCTCAGCCTCTCAAAATGTTGGGATTATAGGTGTGAGCCACTGTCCCTGGCCCCTAACTATTCTCTTAAGTTTATTTTTCTTTATGAAAACCAGCAGAGTTTTGTCAAGTCTTCTCATTGCCCCTCCAAAGGAATGTCTAGGTAAAAGTTAATTAGAATGACATTGAATTATTTACTAACTTAAGGGGAATTTGCATTTTTCTTGAGTTGAAGTCTCAGTCTTGTCACCCAGGTTGGAGTACAGGGGCATGCTCATGGCCACCACAGCCTGGACCTGCTAGGTTCAGGCAATCCTTCTGCCTTAGCCATCCAAGTAGCTGGAACTACAGATGCACACCACCACAGCTGGTTAGTTTTTGTGATTTATTGTAGAGATGAGGTCTCACCGAGTTGCCTTGGCTGGTCTCGAACCCCCGGGTTCTGGCAATTCGCTTGCCTTGGCTTCCCAAAGTGCTGGGATTACAGGCTGAACCATTGCACCAGGTCAAGAATTTGTTTTTTTTTTTTTTTTTTTTTTGAGTTGGAGTCTCGGTCTGTCACCCAAGCCAGAGTGCAATGGCACATTCACAGCCATGGCAGCCTTACCTGCTAGGCTCAGGTATTCCTTCCACCTTAGCCCTCCAAGTAGCTGGAACTACAGGCAAGTGCCACCATGCCCGGCTAATTTTTTGATTTATTGTAGAGACAAGGTCTCACCAAGTTGCCTTGGCTGGTCTCGAACCCCCAGGGTCAGGCAATCCTCTCGCCTCAGTCTCCCAAAATGCTGGGATTACAGGCTGAGCCACCACGCCTGACCAAGAATTTGTAATTTTAAAACAAGGTATGCCTTTACATTTTTTGTCTTCTTTATAGCCCTCTGTGAAATTTTACATTTTTCATCATTTACGTGCTACATGTTTCTTGTTACAGTAATTCCTACAAATTTTACCTATTGGTGGTTACTGTAAAAGAGACTCTTTTATTACATTACATTTTCAAATTTTTGTGTATGTTGGAAAACTATTGGATTTTGTGTATTACTTTTATAATCAACCATGCTAGTAATTTTTCTGGGTTTTAAACAGGTTTTCAAACTTTTCACTTAGATTTCCTAAGCAAACAATCACATCACCTACAAATAATCATTTTGTCTCCTTGGTTGTATCTCTTATTTTCTTCTTTATACAGGAATAATGATATTCCAAGAATCATGCTAAATAATATTGCTCACAGCAGGTATCCTTGTTTTGTTCCTGACTTTATAGATTGCTTTTAGTATTTTATTTTTATTTATTTATTTATTTTTGAGTCAAAGTCTCACTCTGTCACCCAGGCAAGAGTGCAGTGGCACACTCATGGCCATCAAAGCCTCAACCCTGAGTTCAGGCAATCCTTCACCTCAGCCTTCCAAGTTGCTTGGAGCTACAGGTGTACACTACCACACCTGGTTAATTTTTTGATTTATTGTAGAGATGAGGTCTTGCCAAGTTGCCTAGGCTGGTCTTGAACCCCTGGGCTCAGGCAGTCCTCTTGCTTACACATCCCAGAGTGCTGGGATTATAGGTGTGAGCCACCACACTCAGCTGGTATTTCATTTTTATTTTTTATTTTTTGAATTGGAGTCTCACTCTGTCACCCAGACTGGAGTGCAGTGGCCGCTCCTGGCTACCGCAGCCTCAACCTGCTGGGCTCCGGCGATTCTTCTGCCTCAGCCTTCCAAGTAGCTGGAACTACAGGCGCGTGCTACGACGCCCAGCTAATTTTTTTTGATTTATTGTAGAGATGAGGTCTCGCCAAGTTGCCCAGGCGGGTCTCAAACCCTCGGGCTCAGGCAATCCACTCACCTCAGCCTCCCAAAGTGTGGGATTACAGGCTGAGCCACTGAGCCTGGCTTGGTATTTCATTTTTAAACATGATGCTGGTTATAGGTGGATATGTGTATGTGTGTATAATTATAAATAATGATAACTGTTTAAGTAATATCAATGAAGTATTTCTTTTTCCTTTTTAATTAATATATAGCTTATATGTTAATATAAAATTCATATATATTGCAATTATGTAAATTACATTTTTTTTTCCCAGTTAGAGTCTCACTCTGTCTCCCAGGCTGAAGTGCAGAGGCATGCTCACGTCTACCACAGCCTCAACTTGCTGGACTCAGGCAGTCCCTCTACCTTAGCCTTCCAAGTTGCCAGAACTACAGGTACTCGCTACCATGTCAGGCTAAAATTTTGATTTATTGTAGAGACGAGGTCTTGCCAACTTGCACAGGCTGATCTTGAACCCCTGGGCTCAGGCAATCCTTTTGCCTCTGCCTCCCAAAGTACTGGAATTACAGACATGAGCCACCATGCCTGCTGTAAATTACATAATTTTATGATCAAAGAATATTTTTTTCCTCTTCTGCTAAGATTTGTTTTTAGAATAGATGACATGTGCCAAATGCATGTGAGAATATATCTGAGTAATCAAGTGTTTTTCTCTCTCAACCTATTAACATGGCAAATTGTATTGGTAGTTTTCCTTTGATCTCTACCTTTGCATTTCTGAGGCTAGTTGTGGTTTAGAATCCAGGGAGTGCAGTGAGGCTGAGGAAGGCTCTGTGTACCTCTCTTCTTCTTCCCCCCACCCCCACCTGCTCCCATGTCAGCAGGAGGGGCAGAGGGTTGAGGAAAAAAAAAAAAACAAACAAACAGTAGGGCCAGGAAGGACAGGGAGTGAGAAGAAACCCCTTAGGAATGAATCGAGATCCTGGAACCTGTGGACTCCTGGAATTCCCTTAAGACAGTGTAGAGTACTGCCTACCTTGAAGGTTAACACTTGGGTCTTTTCAAAGTCAATGGCAGCTGAGTTCTCCACAATGATTGTGACTTGGGCTTCATTCAGGACTGTCTGTGGCACCACTCGGAAGATGCCCCCGGGTCCCACTAGCCGCAAGTTGAATTTGGCATTGGCTCCCTATGCAACAGAGTTCAGAGAGAGAAAGCAGGGAAGATAAATAAGAATAGAACCTCATATATTCATGCAATATAGGTGGAGTCCTCATATGCCCTTAACCCTGGGAGCTGAGTTTACTTCTGTTCATAGGTGAGTTGAGCAAAGATCAGAAAGACTGCACAGATTATGAAGACTGAGAGAGATAACAAATACATAAGACCTAGTCCTGTGCTGGGCATAGGAGGTGACAGGATATATTCACAAATGCTGTTTGGCCAGTCAGATGCAGGGTTGCTTTTGTGGGACTGGCTTTTTCTCTTGAATGGATTGTGATTGCCTTTAGGCTAAGCAGTTAGTCTCTCCCTCCATTCCCTCTTGTTTCATTCATTTTGTGGCCTGGCCCCTGCTACATAAGCCATGGAGGTTGATGCAAACCCAGTAAGCTTTGGGATCTTGCAGGAGGGCAGGACCACGCACCTGGTCGGAGTCATTGACAGTGATCTTGAGGCCCCGCAGGATCTCTCCCTGGGGTGGGTGCTCATTCATGGACAGCTCAAACCTGTTCTGGGGTCCACTCTCTCCATAGAATGTTGGTGGATGGTTGTTGAGGTCCACAACCCTGATGGTGACTGGGACCATGGCCTGGGCAGCTGGGCTCTCCACAGGGCTGACCTCGGTCACCTGGGGTAGGGACAGGTGGCTATGGTTATATGGCAGGCAAACTCTTTAAATGGCCCCAATGATCCTTCCTCCTGGTATTCATGCTGTTGTATAATCCCCTATCCATAAGTATCATGTGGCCTAGCAACTTGCTTCTACCTAACAGCATATGGCAAAGATGCTGAAATATCCCTTCATGATTAGATTACAAGAGATTGTACCTTCCATCCTGTTATAGACTCTATCCTTTGCTGACTTTGATGAAGCAGGCAGTGAGGTTGGAGAGGCCCATGTATCAAGAAGCTAATAGTGACCTCTCGCCAACAGCTAGAAAGAAACTGAGACTTTTCGTCCAATAGCCCACAAGGAATTGAGTCCTGCCAATATCCATGCGAACATGGAAGTTGATCCTTCTTCAGTTGAGCCTCAGATGAGACCCCAGTCCTGGCTAACAATCTGACTGCAGCCACGTGAAAGACTTGGAAACTGAGAACTCAGTCAGGTTGAACCCAAACTCTTGACCCCCAGAAACTGCAAGATATGGATGTATTTTGTTTTAAGCCACTAAGTTTGGGGTAACTTTTTATGCAGCAGTAGGTAACTGACATAGGCTGCAAAGCCAGTACTGAGAATCCATGGATGCCTCATGAACTATCTGGCAAATATCCCACGAGCTTCTTCAAGGCCTCTTCTCCCTTGTTCTATAAGCATGCTTTGGTCTTACCTGTTCTAAAATGACCCTCCCTAAGCCCACTCTTTCACACCCAGGCTGCTGTCCTTTCACTAAAGCCCATGCCTGTCCATCTCCATTTCCTTCTTCCCACTCAATTCCCCACCCCCTATTTAGATACTTCATACTGATTTCCCTGCTGCATCAGCACTACTACTCTTTCCCCTTCCCAAGAGCTCTATTCCCTCAGCAAATGTGATTCCACTCTCTGCAGGTTCTCCTTGGCTTCCTGACCCCTCTCAGGTCTCCTTTGCCTGCTTCCCCCTCACTCTCCGCTTCCTCATGGTGCTCCCACAGCTGGGCCTGGCCAACTGCTCCTCTCTCTCTGCAGCCAGCCTCTGGGTGCTCTCATTTCTCCCTTGCCTTTTACAACTACCTGCATATTGACCCTCTCTGCTTCAGGTTCCAAACTCACATGCCCAAGTTTGGATATTTCAACCTGCATGTCCCTCAGGCACCCAAACTTGTTGTTTTCTACCTATTTCACTTGTGTCCTCTCCTGTGTCCTGCTGGCAAGGTACCACCCGGGTTTCATCCACCCCTCTCCCATCCATCACCCCTCAGTCACTTGCCTCATTCTGTGCGGCCTGCCTCCTTCACACTTTTCAATTTGTCCCTTTCTGCCACTTAACTCCTCTCATTCCCGCAGACCCTTTTCTTCCGTCACTTTGACCAATGGCTCTGCCTTTCTGCCTCTCATCTAGTTTCCTTCAAACCTGTTGAGACCAGATTTCTCACATTCCTGGGTGGGACTGGTGCCAGAATTACCTGGGCACTTGTAACATGCAGAGTCCTGAATTTACTCCAGACACACTGAATACCCATTCCCAGGAGTGGGTCCAGGAAAGCTTGGTTGGCCAAACTCTTCAAATTTGGGAACCCTACTGGTCTAGTGGCAGCCACAGCGAGCTTTCCAGCAAGTGACTATAATCCTGCTCAAAACCTTTCAATGTCTCTTTTTTGCTCTTGGGTAGGACCAGCTATATACTTTGCAGGCCCATTGAAAAAGGATAACACAAACTCCCTCGTTCAAATTATTAAGAATTTCAAGACAGCAAACAGCAGAGCATTAAGTTGAGCACAAGACCTTCCTAAGTGTGATGCTTGTGTGACTGCACAAGTCACATGCCTTGCTTCAGGGACAAGCCCAGACCCATACATTCAAGGCCTTGGCTCCTCTGGCCCCAGCCTGAGAGTCCAACTTTCCTCCTCCAGGCTACCCAGGGACTCTCTGCTCTGTTCTTACTTGACTCCTTGTTTCTCTAACACTTCATGTGCTCTCCCTCCTGCCTGGGCTTACCAAGTCCTCCTGGTTTGGAATGACTTCACTCTACCCTCACCCAACCATTGTCCCCTTCTGCTAGCCAGCGTGAGCTTGCTGGATCGTACCCATGCTCAAGGCACTACTGCTTCAGTGCTACCTTCTCCTGCCTTTTCATGACTCTCTGCTTGTGAGTTCATGTCTCCTCTTACTGGGGGCTTCATGTGTATCTACTACAACCTGGTGCAGGTGCTCTTTGGAGCAACATCTAGCCCCCTCCCCAGACAGAGGCCCAGGGAGGAGGGCTTGGGTCTCATTGCCTTTGTAGTTTTCCAGGGCCAGAGTGAGCAGGAAAGGCTAGGCTAGAGAGAAGGTACCTGTACATGCAGCTCATACACCTCTCTCTGGAGCTGGGCAGGGCTCTGTGTGACGGAGATGATTCCAGACGTCTCATTAATTTCAAAGGCTCCTTCGCTCCCTGTCACAGAGGAGAGATGTGCTCTGCAGTTCTATCCAGAACCGCAGGGGGGAGCAGGGGAGTCATGCCACATACTCCTTATGCATTACCTTAGGGAAATCTCCATAGAAGATAATCCTGTCATCTGTGTCTTGCTGACAAGGAAACTGAGTCTCAGAGGGGCTAAGTCACTTGTCTAAGGTTACATAGTAAATGCAGAGCAAGGACTTGAACTCACTTTTGTTCAGCTCCCAGATTCCATACTATATCCCTTCTCTTATGCATAATTCTTTCTTTCTCTTTGAAGAGAGAAAGTATACAATAAAGAGATATGGGGGGAAGGGGAGAAGAATGGGAGAAAAGAAGGGAGATGAGGTGGGGTGGGTGCTCTGTAACTGGGTAAAGGTTTGCCATGGTGGTGGGAAGGGAGAGCAGCTCAGGGTCTGTATGCCTGGGGAAGGGAGCCTGTGTGTGATGGTGGGCATGTCTGTCCATGCATGAGCTACTGAAGAGTATGCACCGGGTATGTCCTAGGGACAGGGTGGAGGAGTACAGACATATGCCTATCTGGGATCGGCACTAGGTGTGAGGTCCTGGCTTAACGAAGGCTGCAGAGTCCACTCCAGGGACAGCTTGGCCTACTCAGTTGCTGCCCAACTGTGTAAAGAGTACAGACTTTGGAGCCAACAGACTCAGGTTCAAATTCTATTGTGGAAACTTGGGATGCACACTTAGCTTCCCTGAGCCTCAGTTTTCTCATCCATATATAGGGCTAACACTAGGGAGATGCCATATCATCACTGCATTGGGTTCATTTAATTCAGCTATATGCTCTAGGCCAAACAATGAAAAAGAATAAGGGAAAATACACAGCAACCCCAAAACTGTGAGAAATGATGCCACCCATTTCCATCAACAAGCACATGCCCAGAGGGAAAGACACATGGATTGGCACCACTCTGCTGCTCTCCATGCCCCCTCCTCATGCTGCTCTCCTTGTTGCTGGATATCAAGACAGGCAAGGCAGGAACACACACCCAGGAGACCTGCCATCTCCTGGAGCAGCCCCTCCTCTCCATACATCTTGTATCTCTGGTCCTATAGACGAGGGAGCTGGAATCCAGAGAGGTTGGGGAAACTCACTGTAGTCAGAGTCTAGAGTTATGGCTCCCAAAGCTGCCCCAGACTCACCGTTCACGAGGCTGTAGACAACGGGGTTGGGTTTGCCCCTGTCTCCATCCATGGCGACCACCTTCAGTACCTCCGAGCCCTTGGGGGAACAGGAGCAGCTGCCTGAGACTGATGGGTTAGACTCTCCCCAGATACCACCTCTATCACCAAAGAGAGCTGTCTCCTTCACCCAGGAAATGAACCAGGCCACTGTACGGCCCTTGAGTGTGGCCTCGTCCTACTTTTCTGGGGGTCTTGGAACCCACTGGGCTCTCAGGGCTGGAGGGACAGCCCAAGCCCCAACTGCTTCTTCACTCATGAGGGTCAGTGCATGAGCTGCCCAGGGACTCTCAGGCCTCCTGCTCTGATTCCTGATCCATGCGCCCCATTCAGCCCTCACCTCTATTGCCTCCACCCTCATCTTTACCTCCACTCCCCCTGCCGTCTCCATCTTTTGCCTCCATTACCCCCAGAAATGCAAGCAGGGAGAAGAGAGAGATGGGAGAGGGGCCAGGCACAGACTGTCTCAAATGTGAGGTCCCAGAATTGCGATTTTATCCCGTGGACCTTTGGGTGCTGTTCAAAGGGTTTTGGGTAGGGCCGCCACTAGTCTGGCTACACAGGCTCTTCTCCTGGCCTATTCATGGCTACCTCCTGACTTGGTCCAGGAGCTGCCTCCTCTCCTGGAGCCTACCCTGAGCCCTAGCCCCAGTACCTCTTTCTGCCCTCAGCTCCTCAGTGAGTCCCCTTGGGCCTCCGCACACCCCACCACATCCGGAAGCCTCACCCAGGGTTGCCCAGCCTTTCTCTCTCTCTCACTCTGAGCTAGTCTCCCCTACTAAGTCTTCAATATGTGTTTTTGCTTGTTTCATAAAGTCGAGAATAATCGAAAAGGGGGAAGTACAAACGCAGTCCTACAGAGAGTTCTTGAGCCCTGGCCTAGTGACGTTTGGGTCCAGCCTGGTCTCTGTCCTCAGGGAGCCCATGGTCTGGCTGGGGGCAAAAGACCTGGCTCATGGCCGGAGCCTGGGCGAATCCAGAGCAAGTCACTGTGAGAGAAGAGCACCCAGGGCCCAAGAGAATCAATGAAGGATAGGGCAGGAGGCATCTGGAGGGGGCACTGGCTGAAGGGTGCAGCCACCCACCGGCAGGGTGTCCTCATACACATAGCCATAGTAGGGTGTGCCGACGAAGACAGGGGGCATGTCCTGGACGTCCTCCACGTTGACTGTGACTGTAGTGGTGGCTGAGAACATTACGTCAGTCCCTTGAAGCCTCCCCCCACCATCCTGGGGAAGAATTGGGGGCCACAGAAGAAGAATGAAAGCAGGTTAGGCTCTGGAGTTAGACAGTCTGTTATGATCTGGCCTCCTACTGACTGTGAGGTCAGCATCACTCTCTGAGTTTCTGCCTGCTCCTGTGTCACCTAGAGATAAGTCTCCTCTCATAGGAGTGTTGGGAAAGTTAAATGAGATGATGTGTGAAGATCTTCAGTCTGCCGGGTATGCAAAAGGTGTTCAATGGCACTCCTTTGGAAGCAGGGTTAGTTTCACTTCGGGGAAATCTTGTTGGGTGAGTGACAAAGGAGGAGGTGGAGGTGGGGGAGGTCAGAGCCAAATCCCCCTTCCAGTCAGCAATCAAATTTCAAACAGTTCCTGAGGATCTACAATATGCTCAGCCTGTGCTGGGTGCCACAGAGCCCACAAGAATAAAACTTGGGCCCCATGCCTGAGCATGTATAACAGAGGTGTGCACCCAGCTGAGCCTGCAGTTACTGGCAGGTGGAGGTGTCTCAAGCCTCCTGGTACAGGCTGGAGTGGAGTGACTTGTAGCCAGTCTGTGGTCAGCAAGGACCTTCCTGCAAAAGAAAGTGCTGGGCCTAGAGGCACAGCTGGGGTTTGTGCTCTTGGGGAAAGAAGCTTTAGCAGAGCACCTGCTGATTTCCAGTTCCCACACCATACACTTCAGAAATACGAGGAACTTAGTTAAGCTTCAGGAGTGGGAAGATGAGGAAACCGAGGCTCAGAAGGGGTAACTGGTCACATGAAGAGGAGGAGGTGGGGTGAGCAAGCCTGGCCATGGAGGTGGAGGCACCTGGAGGTCAGGTTGTGGAGGATGTGAGATGTGAGGGGGATACAGTTTTCTTGACTATCTCACCTGGTCCAACCTAGGGCACCCTGGCCCATCAGTTTTGAGGAGATAAATGCCCTCCCCTAGAAGAGAATGTGCCCTCTCCAGCCCATAGACACAAGCCTCCCTGGAGGGTATGTCCAGGCAGAAACCATTTTGAGCAGCTGTCCCCTCCCCCTTCCCAGTTTCCCTACACCCATCATGCTGCCTGCTCTCCAAACCGCCCCCACTCTGTTGCAGATCCTAACTGTGTTATAACCCAAGGGCTTAGGTGATCCCTCAATCTTCCCTCTCTGTTACCTTGGCAACCACGGTGACATAATGGGTCCGGGACTTCTCATAGTCCAGAGTGGCTCCAGCCTGGAGGCGCAGCACACCGCTGTGGCGATCCATGGCAAATGTGGTGAAGTGCAGGTTCTGTAAGGGTTGGGGTGTGGCTGGGCCTCTGAAGGAATGCAGGCCAGCCCCAGGAATGCCTGCTCTGCTTACTGCTCACTACCCTTCATTACAGGAAGTCTGGTCTCAGGGCTGAGGTTCACGCTTCAGGGCATCCAGCTGTTCTGCCCTAGGTGCACCTTCACAGAGCTTGGGGCTTCTCCTCCCATACCCTCAGTCAAAACCAGAATGTTCTCTTCCAGGGCCTTAGCTTTTCTTTCTGCTCATCTGAAAAACAAACTGGGCTTGGCTTTGGGCTAAGCTCTGGTCTGGAGGTTCCATAGGTAGAAAGGTCTTTAGAGTTCTTTAACCTAGAGGGAGTTGAGGCTTAAAAGCCATAGTGAAGGAGAGAACCTTTCAGATCACAGCAAGCAAGTGACTGCGTGACAGTCCCAGGCGGCATCTGGGGTGAGGGGGATGAGGGGCATGACATCACGTGCAGCCCAAAGGAGGGTGGCAAGGAGCACCTCCTCCAGTGGAATGCTTGGAGGCCCTTCTGGCTGGGTAGGGTTGGTGCTCATGACAGGTGCTGTTATTGGAGCTTTAAGCATATTAATCCTCACAGTCACCCAATGAAGATGTGCTTTTATCTCTCCTATTTTACATGTGAGGAAAAGTTAGACAATGTTTTGAAGGTCACACAGGTAGTAAGTGGTGGGATCTCTTCAGTACACGTAGGATACAGGGGATTTCTTCAGAACTGTGTTTTTGGGGGCATTGTAATTCTGCTTCTTTTGAGAGTTGCCCCCTCTGCCCTTTTCCATTCTAGGCTCAGACAGGGTTCTTCTACCCTGTGTGGGAGCCCCTGGAGAAGGGGCTGGGGATGTGGAGGGCTGAGGTTCTGGGGACATGGGAAGGAGGAGTGTGGACAGACTAACACAGAGGAAGCTAGGATGGGCCCATCAAGGGAAGAAGTCTTCTGTCCCTCTTATACCCTCTCCTGTCCATCCCACCCCTGTGTGTACATTCTGGGAATAGACCTAAGAGCCTTGACAACAGAGGTGGGGGCCATCCAGGTGTCCCCTCCAGCCCAGACCCCTGTATCCTGTGTGTTCCCCCTTACCTGCAGGAAGTAGGTGACACTCCCTCCTGAGCCTGTGTCTCTGTCCACTGCATGGACCTTAAAGATGCTGCTCCCAGCAGGTATGTCCTGAGGGGTCACAGCCATGAGGGAAGGTCAGTGACAGGATGCTCAGAGGCATAGGGACATGGAGTAGTGGGGTCAGGGGAGTGAAGGGCTAACAAGAGGTAATCAAGTGAGGATCAAGTGTGCGATCACCCAATGGAGGAGTCAGAGTGAATGCAGAAAAGAGGGAAAGAAAGGAGGAGCAAAAAGATGTGGCAGGGTCCGGGGAATGCTCTCAAGGAGAAAGAAGAAAAATTTAGATCCCAAGTAGAGCAGCAATTCACATATGAGGAAATGATGCATAAACACAGACTTATTTAGGACAACCAGGGACCACATACCTACAGCTTAGAACAAGAATGCGATATCTTTTCTCCACTGAATTAGCAAACATTTTAAAATTTGAGCATCTAGTGTTGGCAAAGGGCAGGAGAGACAAACCTCTCCCCACAGTAAGGGAAGGAACAAAGAGCTGCCTTCTGGAAAAGCAATCTGGCAACACCCCACAGGTAAGCATGCAACTGATCCAGTAATTTTAAATCTTGGGTTGTATCTTGAGGAAATAATCCTAATTAAAGGAAAAACAAAAACTTATGCTTAGAAGCTGATGTTTCTTATGACCACAAAAATGTAAGGCACATTCAATATCCAGACATCAGGGAATGGTTCCATAAATGATGAAGTTGTCACTCAATGAAAGTTATTGAAATGTTAGTTACCCAAATTTTATAATTAATGAGGAAAGTGCTTATAAGTGACAAACAGGATAGGGAAAGCATATGTTTAGTATAATCACAAATAAACATTAAAATTCTAGAATTACAAAAAAGGCTAGGAGGAAATATACAAAAAGTTAACAGTGTCTTAAGTTGGAGGGATGAAGGGTGATTTTTAAAACTGTTTTTTCTCCCACTTTTCTATGTCACAATTCTACAATAAGCACACGTGATTATAACGAAAACTAGCAAACAAATGTTTCTTTGAAATAAAAATGAATGTAAGAAGAAGGGGATGGTGACAGAGGAGGCTCTCCAGAGAGCAGTGAGAGATGGTCAGGCCACAGGGCAGTCCCAAGGGTCAGCCATGGGCCTGGGGTGGGAATTTCAGCCCCACCTAGTGGCCCCTCACTCACCTCAGGAACCGCGATGACATAAGGCTCCTGGGTGAACCTGGGCACCTCATCATTGGCATCGGTCACCAGGATCACGACTTTTTCTGCCACCTGAGAAAAAGCAGAAGGGTCAAGGGTCAGAGCAGTGAGATCAACTAGCAGATAAGAGGATGGTGGCCTCTAACACCCCCAGGTAGACATCTAGGCCTGTCTTCTCTTTCTCTCTTCCTCCCTCCCTTTCTTCTTTTATTCATTCGTGCAACAAATATTAAGCAGCTATTTAGTGCCAGCATTTCATCCTGGAGACAGAAGACAGTCTGGTGGAGTGTTATTTTGCACTGTGGGCATTTTGGTCATGAGGCTGGAATATCAGGTCAAAGATCAGCATATAAAAGAACATGGTGATGTCTTTAGGGTGATAACAGTGACAGGCCAGCCACTGAGGGCAGGGCCTGTGTAAATGCATCACTTGGGGTTGAGAGACCTGGGTCGTGGTAGTGAGAGGGAGGGAGGCTGCTCAGAGGAGTGAGAACTCATCCCTGTGGTAGGTTTGCCAGAAGAAAAGAGGTAGAAAGGTGTGCCAGGAAGAAGGGATTGGATGGGCAAAGACAAAAAGGAGTGAAACTCATGGTGACTTCAGAGGACAGGAGTAGATTTATGGTTGGATGGTTGGAAAGGTGAATGTGAGAAAAAAGGTGGTGAGGCAGATGGTACCCTGCAGGGAGGTGTGGAATGCCAAGCTGAAGCTTGGCTTTCATCGTGGGGGTGGTGGGAGTCAGTTGTTAGAGCTTTCTGAGCCCAGGAGTGGCCAGATCTAAGTTCCACAGTGACAGCTTCGAAGACAGATTGGGGCAAAGGAACCTGGAGGCAAGGGAGCTCCTGGGATCTGTTGTAGTCATCCCAGGAGCACTGATGAGGGCTGGGGGAAAGTGGTAGCTATGGGGAAGGAGGTGAGGACCAACATCTGGATGTCCAGGTGTTTAACTAGGATGACTGGGCAGGGGGCAAAGATCCAGGTTGGAGAAGGTAGATAGGAAGGGCAGCTTGGAGGAGATGCTGTGGAATGTGGATTAGACCCCATTAGAAATTCAGCTCAGAGAGCCTGGTTTCCCTTCCCTTTCTCTCCCCTCCCCTCCTCTCCCCTGCCTCCCTTCCTCCCCATCTTGGCTTCACTGTGGGCATTTTGGGCAGATCTTGCCAGACCCTGGCTTAAATTTGCCAAGGGGCCTCCAGGAAGGCTGGGAGAGGAATCATGCCCAAACACTGCCTGCTGCCAGGGTCTGGCTTGGTGTGCACTCACCAGATTCAGGCCGTCGGAGATGCTGATGATAGCTTCAATCTCATCCTCTCTCTGTAAAGCACAGGGACTGAGTGAGTACCGAGGAGTCTGACATGCCACAGGACTCCTGAGGCTGGGCTCTACCTGCCCATGCGCCCGTGAGAGGAGGTTTGGGGGTGTCAAGAGAGCCCTGGAGCAGGGCAGGTGCAGGTAACAGTGTGCTTAGCAGAGCCAAAAGCTGCCACCCGTCATGCTTGAGACCTTTTTTCAGAGCTTTTCATGTCTGGGATTCTTATATACCCAGAGAGACTGTTGAAGCGCCAACAGAAAATATTCTCCTGCTAGAGCGAAGAGAGATGCCAACACTAGTATATGGCCAAAGTCTCACAAAGAAGACTTTTCCCCTTTTAAATCTTCCTTTTTCTCCCCTTTCTCCCTCCATGCCTCTTGATATCCCAGGGCTCTGCAGAGGTTCAAGTCCATGGTGTCTCTGTGCCTCCTAGGACATGGGGGGATGTCAAGGAGGAGGGATGTCAGAGGTCAGCAGATTCTGAGGGTGCTGGGGAGTGGGGACTGGCAGCACAGTGAGTCTCCACTGCCATGTCCCTAGAGCATTCTATGAAACCTCCCTTTCCTTTCTCTACCCTGGCCTGCAGCTAGTGAATGCTGTCACAGAACTAGAACTGGCAGCAGCCCCACAGCTGACGTCCAGTTAAGTGGCCAACTAGGTCAGTCAGCCTGGTGTGCTGTCTCAAAAGGGAAACAAAGCCCATGCCCTGTCACCCGCAGGTTCAGAAGGGCACAGAGGGGAGTAGTCCTACCAAACTCTCTCAACCACTCTTCCCAGCCCCGATATGCCCTGAATTTCCTGGGCTTACAGGTCCTCTCCAAGGACAGGTTTGAAAAATCACTTTATGAGGTCTCTTTCAGAAACCTCAAATGCAAACATTTGTTTTCAATTGAACACGCTTAAAAGATTAGCAGGGCTGGCAGGTGCTCATTAAAGGAGCCCCACAATTCGCTCCATGAGAGTAAAGCCTCCTGTGCTGTGGGGAGCAGCCTAGGGCTTCCACAGAGTGAGTGTGGTGTGCCCAGGGCAACGCCCCTCGTCCCCTATTCCATAGGTTCTAACCAATGCGCTCGAGGGGACCTCCCGGCCCACAGAGGTCTGTCTGCAGGCAGCAGCCCTGCAGCACTCCCCCCATTCCCCCATACTTCTCTGTCCAGCTCTTCCACCAGAGTAATGTTTCCAAAGTTGGGGTCAACAGAAAAGAATCTTCTGGTGCTGGGATCAAAGCTGATGTGGTAGGAGATGGGGTCTCCCTCAGGGTCTGTCCCGTTCAGGGTATATACATGAGACCCTGGAAGGAGACACGGGGGAAAGAGCTAGAATCAGACCTGACTTTTCCTAAAAGTGGCAGCTGTTCAGGACTGAGGATTCAAGTGTCTATAATGTAACACTATTCAATTCAGTGCCAAGGGTACCGCCCTGAATGGGGTGCTCACCCCTGCTGGCTGCTTCCTATTTCATATCTCTATTTTCCATGGCTGTTAGATGTTGTGATCAGCCTTTCCAGATTGTAATCTATGACACAGGTTACAGAGGAGGTGCAGGTCTGTCATGTCTAACTGCAGTGCCTGTATGGCAATGAGGCCTCTCTCAGGAGCCAACACTGGGGACTCCCTGAGTAGGGGACATGGGGTAAAGGGAGCAGCCATTAAAGCAGGAAGGGGGATCCATGGTGCAGCACTGGATCCCAAATGCCTAGATTGATTCTTCAGAGATTTCTGCTTGCAGGCTACTGTGTTCCCCAGGGTGCCCAAAGTGAACAGCGTGAAGGAGAGGGAGTGTGAAATGTCGGCTTCTTCCTTCTTCCCTCTCTGCATATCTTACCAAGTTGGGTGCTTTTGGACCCTTTTAAAGTCTGGAGACCCAGGACTCAGGGAAGTTTGTTCAAGGTCACACAGCGGGTAAGGGGCAGCCCTCATCTCCACACTTCCTTCCTCTTGGGGCTGATCCTGTCCCTGGGAGGGCGCCCTGGTCTCCAGGACTGGCCAGGCTTAGGTCGCCATGGTAGCGGTGACCTCCTTTCTTGCCCTTGCTCTGGGGACTTCGGAGAGCAAACAGAGCGCCTGGGGAGCGCGTGCAACCCGGCGCCGGGCGCCTCCACAGGCTGGGAGGAGTCATGGGTTCGGTCTCTGCGTCTACCACGCGAGCCGTCCCCGAGGAGGATGGGGGGAGCGGTGCCAGGGCTACTCACCCACAGGGGTGTCCTCTGGGAGGCTGAACAGGGCCATGTTTCCGTTGGTGCTGCCGACCCCGTTGTCAAAGAAGTGGGGGGCGAAGTTGGCCTGGGCTAGGAAGAGAACATTGATGGGACAGACGGACACCCAGACGGTCAGGAGAGCTTCGCACCAGCGCGGTCAAGCGGCGGCCCCACTAGTGGGCAGAAGGTCGCTCCTCTCCAACCCGAGCACACGAAGGGACCCTTCTGAGGCGCCGCTGGGAGGGTCTCCCTACCCACCGCGCCTCCTGTGGGCTCATGCTTGTCAGGGACACAAATCATCTGGGCGCTTAGAATCCAGATAGCGCCTAGTCTCACCCCCATCAACAGGCAGACTGGGTTCTCGCTCAGAAAGGAACGGCCAAGGTCACACTGTGAGTCGAGCACCCATCCTCTCGCAGCCATCGGAGCAGCCGCCTAACCTCCAGTCCTGTTTCCGAACAGGTGGAGAACAGCTGGGGTCCCGGCTCCAAACCCCGGGGCTCTGGGACGGCGGCTCCGCAAACGCGTCCAGGAGCTCTCCACTACAGGATGGGCCGGGCCGGTGAAAGAATTTTCCCCGCCCCCGTCCCTCAGCCCGAGTCCCACTTTGCAAGTGGACAATCCAGGATTGTGTCCTGTGCCCGCCCCCCGGTAGTGCTGGCGCCCACCCCCCTCGCCCCCTCCGCGGCCGGCGGGGCCCCGCGGCCACTCACCCAAGCAGAGGCGCAGCAGCTCCAGGACCAGGGAGGTCCACCCGCCGCGCCTCATGTCTCCGCAGGCGGGTAGTGTCGCTTGCAGCCGCCAAGGCAGGGCACAGGAGCGCGGAGCATGCCCCGGGCCCGCGAGGAGAGCGGCGACGACAGTGGGGCGGCGGCGGCGGCGGCGGGCGGGGGCGCGGGGTGGAAGCGCCGAGGGGTGCTAAGGCGCTAAGCGGATGACAGGCCTCGGATCTGCGCAACCAGAACGCTCCTGACCGGCTCCTGATGATACCAATTAATGGACGCGGAGCTGAGGTACCGCTTCCATCTATGGCATAATGAGGGGGGAGGAACACGATTTATTATTTCATTTGCTTTCAATCTCTGCAAAATCTGTTTTGCTTACCTCTTCCTTCCCCCCGC